GCGACCACTAGGGCGAGCAGCTCGGACTGGCGACGCAGGGCGGGACGCAGGCTCACGACGCTCAGCAAGACCTCCAGTAGGACCAGTGTAGGGAGAAGGAGAAGGCAGGGGAGAGGCGGGCTGTAACTGTGACTGCGACGGGACAGGCTGTGGACACTCTACGGGAGAAGGCGGGAGACCAAGAACCTGCTGAAGGAGCGGAACGAAGTACGGCCGAGGCCGCGAAGCACCGCCAGAGACAGCAGGGACAGCACCAACACCTCCAGAGGCAGCACCAGCACCAGTAGCAGCTCCAACTCCAGCACCTCCAGCAGCGCCAGAAGTACCCTCAGTAGGACCGACAGTCGTAGACTCAGCGCCAGCACCCGCAGCAGCTCCAGCTCCAGAGGCACCCTCGGGCCCGGCAGCTCCAGTACTCTCAGTACGAGCACCTCCGGGACCCGTGGTACCAGCTCCCTCGGCAGCAACAGAACCTCCAGCACCCGCAGCACCCCCAGCTCCAGCAGCTCGCCTCCAGCGCCGGGCAAACCACTCACGTAGCTCCAGAGGAGAGAGCGGCTCGCGGCGCGAAGAACGGTCCGGAGAACCACCAGGAACAGAAGCAGCAGGCGCAGCACTCCCAGGCGAAGCACCCCCAGGCTCAGCACCCCCAGGCCCAGCACCCCTTGGCTCAGCACCCCCAGGCTCAGCACCCCTAGGCTCAGCACCCCCAGGCTCAGCACCCCCAGGCTCAGCACCCCCAGGCTCAGCACCCCCAGGCTCAGCACCCCCAGTCTCAGCACCCCAAGGCACAGCACCCCGAGGCTCCGCACCCGCAGCAGCACCAGAGTCACCAGTGACCTCGACAGGCTCGACCGCGTCTACCTGAGACACACCTGAAGGGGCAGGACCCTGAGGGGGGAGGGGGTCTACCGGGGGGGGACCTGGGACCAGGAAGAGGGGCGGCGGGGGGAGGGACGGAGTGCGGTAGGGGAAGAGCCGGTAGAAGGGAACCGACTCGTCGAACGTGACGTCCTGGGAGGACAGAACACGACGAGAGGTGGGGTGGTAAAACTGCCACCCAGGTGCGTCAGGGGGGAAACTCAGGAAGACGCAAGGAGCAGCACGAGGGGACAGCTTGTCCGTAGACAAGTCGCGGACAAACGCCCGAGATCCCCAGACACGGAACGCCGACGCATCGCCAACCTTCCCCGTCCACAGCAAAGCTGGGGAGGTCTCCGGTCTGGAGACCCTGGGCTGAAGGTTGATCTGATGCGCGGCGTACCGAACCGCAAACGGCCACAGAAAATGGGGGGCAGCCGCATGCACCATGGACGTACGGGCGACGTCCATGACTATGCCGATGCGGCGCTCAGCAATCCCATTCTGCTGTGGAGAGTCCGGAAGCGTGAAGGTCTGGCGGATGCCTCGTGCACGACAGTAGGCTCGCAGAAGGCCGGAGGAGAACTCTCCGCCTCTGTCCGAGTGCAGACGCAAAACAGGAAAGTCCAAGCCGAAGCTCCGCCTGAGCTGGAGACGAGCTGCGCGGATCCAGTGGATCAACACCTCAGTGACCTCACCCTTGCTGCGCAAGGGGAAGACTGTGGTGTAACGCGAGTAGTCGTCAACCACCAGCAGGAAGTAGCGCTCGTGACCCTGTCCACGGACGCGGGCTGGGCCCCACACGTCCATGTGAAGCGTCTGCATCGGGTCCTCCGTCGGAGGAAACGGGGAGGAGTGAGGGGTAGCCCGCAGGCGACCCTCGACACAGGGGACACAGGGAGGGCCAGGCCCCGGAGGAAGGGGAGGGAGGGACCGGGGAAGACCAGAGACAAGAAGGCGAGAGGCCATGCCCCGGAGACGAGGCAGGGAGGGGTGACCCATGCGGTGGTGCCACAGGAGGGTCTCGTGGGATAGGAGGCGACACGAGCAGGGGGCAGACTCAGGACCAGACCTGGATGCTGCAGCAAACACCTGACCCGACGCAGCTACCTGACCAGACGCAGGAGGAGGAGACGGAAAAGTGAGTGTGTACAGGCTCGACCCCGGCCCACGTGTGAACGTGGTCAAGTGTCGACCCGTGTCCGCGTCCGTGCAGTGGGTGTCCCGTCGGCGCACAGGGGTGAACTGGTCAACCCCTGCATCCATTAGGTCAGCACCCGCCACCAAGTTCGTAGAGAACGAGGGGAGGTAGAGACCGGACAGGGAGCCAGACGGGACCGCAGGGCACGGAAGGACAGTGGAGTAGCGAGCCAGAACAGGACCCCCAGAGGGGTCCGCCAGGGAGACTGCCACTGGCCGACTGAGCGGCGTGAGTGTGGTGCGGTCTCGAAAGAAGGAGCGAGACGCTCCTGAGTCAAGAGTGAAGGTGAGAGAGGGCGGAGCCGACGCAGTACCTGAGAGAGCAGACTCACCAGCACCTGAGGACACAGACTCACTGGCACCTAGAGCGACAGCCACACCAGTACCTGGAGCAGCAGCCTCAACAGCACCTAGAGCCGCAGTACCAATGCCCGGGTCGGGCGGGAAACACCGGTAATAGTCACCCTCCTCACTAATAGTCACAGCATACATGGCACGAAGAATAGCATCAAAGTCAAGATCAAAGATAGCTACTCCTGCCCTAGACAGCTGGTCCCAGCGAGGGATCTCAGAGGTGTCAGGAAACTGGCGGCGCCAAGCGTCAGTCAGGCGGCCGAAGCAGCGCTGGGTGGAGTGTGGACCACCACACGGCTCACCCGCACGGTCGCCAGTGCGCAGGACGTAGGTGCACGGACCAGTACCCCCACCCCTCTGACGTGCAGCGTACCACTCACGGAGCTGCTGCGGGGAGAGAGTCTCCTGACCACGTTGCTGCTGCTGGCGCTGACCACCACCGGAGCCACTCCTCTGCGACGAGCCACGACCTCCGCCGCCGCCTCCGCCGCCGCCGCCGCCGCCACCACCTCCGCTTCCACCGCCACTCCCACCGTCGCCGCCACCACCGCCGCCCCCGCCTCCACTCCCACCACCACCGTCGCCGCCGCCCCCGCCTCCACTGCCGCCGCTGACACCTCCACTCCCGCCACCACTACCGCTACCACCCCCACCTCCTCCGCTGCCTCCACCGCCGCCTCCACCGCCCCCGCCGCCTCCACCACCGCCCCTGCCCCCCTTGCCCTTACCAGGGCGACGTCTCCCACTGGGGGCAGACGCCGCACCGACCGACTCAAAACCAATGAGGTCGGCCGTAGCAGCAGAGGCGACAGAGGGCAGGAGGGGGGAGGGGGAACACCCGTCAAAGATGGGGGTGCGCGGGTCACCACGAGAGGCCCCTACAGCGAGAATGCTCTTCTCGGCCGCTAGGAGGGACTTCTCGAGGAGGTCAACAGTGAGAGTGGTGGGGCAGACTGAGAGGAAGTCGTCCCTGACTCCGCGAAGGGAGTCAGGGAGGCGGGTGACAATGTAGTAGAGAGTGAAGTACATGGGGGGGGGGTTCTTGGCGCAGAACTCAGCAGGAAGCGCAGCGCGGAAGCGAGCGTCACTAGTGCGCAGGTGGGTAATGAGGTCGGCGACTGTGGCAAAAGAAGCAAGGTCGGGAAAGAGGTACGGTAGCATGAGGCGGCTCAGTGTAGCAGTGGCAGGGGAGGAGTAGCGTGCAATAACGGCGTCGTACAAGGTCTGAGCACTCTTGTACGACCCAAAGTGTGCACGCTCAGAGGGAGGGAGGTGGCGACGCACAGCAAGACGTGCAGTAGCATCGCGTGTGGCCCACTGTGAGCGAACAGTGGCATCCTCAGTAGCAGCAGGGGCGGGAGAGGCACCAGAAGTGAGATCAAAGAGAGAGAGGCCGTCAGCTCTGTCGCACTGTAGGAAAAGCAGCAGGTCGTCTACCCACACGTCAAAGTCGATGGCTCTGCCCTCAGCGTCAAAGGTGAGGACACTGGGGGTAGCCATGACAGCAGTAGGGTGAGGGCAGTGCGGAGAGGAAAGCTCAGTGCTCACCAGACAGGGCAGTGCAGGCGGCTCGGGCGGCTCGGGCGGCTCAGCGGCTCGGCTGCTGGGCGGCTCGGGCGGCTCGGCGGCTCGGGCGACTCGGGCGGCTCGGCTGCAGGGCGGCTCGGCTGCTGGGGCGGCTCGGCTGCTGGGGCGGCTCGGCTGCTGGGGCGGATCGGCTGCTGGGGCGGCTCGGCTGCTGGGGCGGCTCTGCTGCTGGGGCGGCGGGGCCGGGAGATGCAGCGGCGGGGCCGCCAGGGGCAGTGGCGGGGCCGGTAGGTGAAGCGGCGGGGCCGTCAGGTACAGCAGCGGGGCCGGCAGGTGAGACGGCGGGCCCTGCAGATGAGGCGGCGGGGCCGGCAGGTGCAGCAGCGGGGCCGTCAGGGGTAGCGGCGGGGCCGGTAGGTGCAGTGGCGGGGCCGTCAGAGGGGACGGCGGGGCCGTCAGGTGCAGCGGCGGGGCCGTCTGAAGCAGCGGCGGGGCCGGTAGAGGGGACAGCGGGGCCGTCGGGTGCAGCGGCGGGGCCGGCAGAGGGGACGGCGGGGCCGTCAAGTGCAGCGGCGGGGCCGGCAGAGGGGACGGCGGGGCCGTCGGGTGCAGCGGCGGGGCCGGTAGAGGGGACGGCGGGGCCGTTGCAGGCGATCGCGGGGCCGTCAGAGACGGCGCCGGAGTCGCGAGGGTCAGAGGGGGCGGCGCGCGACTGGAGGGCGGCACGCGCGACGCGGCGCGGCCGTCTGGGGCGGCGCGACGAGGCCGCGTAGGTGGCGCTTAAAAAAAAAAATCGAGGGCGGCTCGACGCGATCGGGCCGCCAAAGGAAAAAAAAAGGCCGAGCGCGACTCGGGCTAGGGCAGAGCGCGCTCCGGGCAGGACGGAATAGTAGGTGGGCCCTAGGAACAGTTCCCACTAGGGAACCTGCTCGATACCATGTTGAGATAGAGGCGATGAATGATGTACTATGGAATGAAACAAGGATACAAGTACCAACCCTAATTGGGTTGTACCCCCTATGGTCTACCCCAACAGCAGCCTACAATACATGCATCAGCTAAATATAATCTGACATGTTCCAGTTGGGGACCTCACTAGAGACCGATCCAAAAACGCCGAGCATCACTACAACTTGTCTGAGCTCTGCATCCGAGGTAAGAAAAGGGGTGACATCGTCCGCGTAGCACGCCATGAGGCGGCGCTGAGTGGAGGACAAGGCGAAACCGGGAAGGGAGAGGGACATGTAGCGGTGGAAGATCTCGATGACGCAGACGAAAAGCAAGGGGGCCAGTGGGAAGCCCTGTCGGACACCAGTCCGGACGGGGAAGGTGGGGCCGAGCATGTTGTTAACTGAGACGCGTGTGTATGTTTCGGAGTGCATTAGACGGACCCAGTGGATAAAGGGTGTGGGGAGCCCCAGGACATATAAGGCCTGGAGGAGGAAAGATCTGTCGACGAGGTCATAAGCCTTGCGAAAGTCCACCGTAAGAGCAAGAAGGGGGGATGAGGAGAAGGCCGCCCAGTCCATGATGTCAAGGGTATCATTGATCGTGTCTCCGATTTTCCTGTGCTTGATGAAAGCGGTTTGAGATGGGTGGATGAGTTGGGGGAGAACGAGCTGGAGGCGGTTAGCAAGGCATAGCGCGAGGACCTTGTAGTCAGCGTTTATGAGGGTGATGGGTCGGAGGTTTTCCACTAGCGAGGAGTCCCCCCTTTTAGGGATAAGGACGGTTCGTCCGGTCAGCATGGACGGAGGGAGGCGGGAGAGTGGCTGTGGTGGTGAGAGCAGGGAGTGAAAGGCCGGTGCGAAGCGTGGGGAGTATTGTCGGAAGAGCTCCCCGGGGAGACCGTCTGGGCCAGGGGTTTTTCCTCGTGAAAGAGAGAGAAGAGCCTTTCTGATTTCAGCTAGGGAAAAGGGGGTACTGAGGCGGATGAGTAGGGGGTTCGGGATAGAGGAGGGGGGGATATGTTGCCAGAAGGATGGGTTGCGGGTGACAGGGTTGCTCCCGCTATAAAGGGTCAGGAAGAAGTTAGAGCACATGTTGGTCATGGTGGAGAGGTCCGAGGTTGTCTGTCCGTTGGGTAGGGTCAAGGAGTTGATGATCGAGCCTTTGATCCGGGAGTTGAGTCCGGAGAGGAGGGAGGAGACTCCCATTTCTCTGTGCCCCTCTACTTTAAATTTAGCCTTGAGCGCGATCTCGGAGGCTTTCGAGGCTTCATACCTGGCCAGGTGAAGCCGAGCTTGGTGTAGGCGGGAAGATTCGTCCTGATTCAAAGGGGTATACGCTGCTTGCAGTTGTAATGAGCCAATGGTGTGTTCCAGATGTGCAGTCGTGCCGTCGACACGACGCTTTTCCTGGTTGGAAAATCTTTTAAAGTTAAGGGTGAGGTCAAGCTTCCAATTGTCCCAGGAATCTGGGGAAGGGGAGGAGGGGAAGGCTACTAGGGCGGCATCAATTATTTGTGCAGCGTGGGGGCGAGTGAGTAGATGTTGGCGTAGTCGCCAGGGACGGGGGGCTACTGTGGGGTTGGTGAAACAGAGCGAGCAGAGGGGGGCATACAAGTGATCCGTGATAGTCCTGCGGGTTTGGAGGTACGGGCTAGCAACGAGCCGGGGGAGGAAGGTTCGGGAGATGTAAGTTCTGTCGAGACGAGAGGAAGTGGGCGGGGTCACTGTGTTGTGGCGTTGCCTGCCAAAGAAGGAGAAAACGTCGTTAGGCGTGGGGTGGAGTGCACGGAATGTGTCGACTAGCGAGTGAGTATCCATGAGTTTGGCGAAGGAAGCTCCTTCTCGACATTCGTAATCTTTAGGGGGGCGGTTTCTGTCGTTGGGAAGGATGACCGAGTTGAAGTCTCCGGCGAGCATGGATGCGGAGGCAGCGGTGGGAGTTTCCAGCGCCGGGACAAGCGTGGTGGTCCACCATAATCGACGCTCATAGAATTGTGTGGGCGCATATATGGCTATGAGGCGGATTTGCACACGGAGATAGTTGAGATGTACAGAGAGAAGTCTGCCATCAGCAGAGGGAAGCGGGGAGGAAAGTGAGATGGCCCTGTTGAAGGAGAGGATGGAGATGCCTCCGATGAGGGTGGGCCTCCCGCGAGCGCTGTCAGTTGAGAGCAGCGCCGGGGCGTGAGTAGATGCGAGAGGTCGGAATTTAAGTACAAGATTGGGGATTCGGAGGATGAGACGGGTGTCAATGAGGATGACCAGGTCAGTGGGGGCCGGGAGGCGCGAGAGCCAGGATTTAAGCTCATCCATTTTGCGAGTCTCGTTGATTCCGTTCACATTGATGCATAGGATGCGGAGGTGTGTTAACATGGCAATGACGTGAAGGCCACCGCACGGGCGATCGTGCGAATCCACTGCCTGAGCAAGTGTTTTAGCTGGTGAGTGTAAGGGGAGGAGGTGGGGTCAATAGGGGATGCTCGGCGTGTCCACGACCTGGGGGGAAAGTTGTAACATGGAGTGCTTGGGACAGGGGAGAGGCCGGTGGTACGTGTGTCCTGAGCTATGGGGTGACTAATATGATGGACGAGTTTCCAATTACAGATTTGACTTGTGTTGGAGTGGATGGTGAGTTGTAGGTCAAGATTTATTAAGCATCCACAAGAGGAGCATTTTAAACGAGGTTGCATGAGGAGGCTTGCGACGTTGTGCCGCCTGGCAGGCAAGCAAGGGGCAGTGGAGCCTACTGGAGGAGGAGGCAGGGGTGGGTGTCTGTCCATTGGTTGAGATCGTGTTAGGAAGTAGAGGTAGCAAGGAATGAGTGAGTGGAGGGGACTGGAGCGCCATTGTGAGAGTACGACGGCTTATGCCAGCTATGCTTGCTTGCCTAGACTTTATTACGCTATATCTAGCTTGGGTTTTATTTATCATGCATAGATATGCTTGATTTCCTAGGTTAGGTGCATTCCTATATATTATTATAGTTATAGCACCGAACCAGGTTACGTGTACCGAACTCAAGCCTATTCGGTTTCCACCAAATTGCTTTCTACTGAGTTCGGGAAGGTTCTGTTCGGGGCGCTTCGCGACCCTCAGAACATTCGCGTAACACCTGGGTAACTGGCCTTGTGTCGAGCTTATATATAGCCTCGTGTTGTACCCAGGTGAATCATTGAATTACAATTCTCTTTTCTGAGCTCGATCCTAGATCCTCACAGCCATAGTCCAGGGTAAAACGGATGCAAAAAGAGGTAAACCGAGGACTCGGGGTGGGGCTTGTCCATACAGTTGCGAAGGAATGTGGGCAGGCTAAAGCAAAAGGGGTGTGTGTGAGTGTACCGGTATTGGTGTAATATTTGGAGCAAGGGTTTGTGCGTACAATATACTGCTGATTGGTTACATTTGCACAGAGTGGCTGAGGTCGGCCTTGGTACGAGCAACAACATACTAATAACGACGGAAAGAAATGCATGCAAGCAGGCCAGAAAGCCATATCCTAAATGGGGGCCAAAGAAGGGGTGTACCCAAGAATATGCAAGGAGGCCTCTTCCAATGTGGTCATGCAAGGGCGCAGGTCTCAGCCACGGAGGAAGGCAGCCACCGTAGGCTTCTGCTGCAGAGTGAGAGCGCGCCAGGGGCCAAAAGCCTCCTTGGCTGCCGGGCGGTGGGCCGTAGCCTTCACGCGCGAAGCATGCAGCTCGGATTGAATGTGGACCATGGCACTGTCCAGGGCAGCGCCACAGGTGAAATCGCAGAGCGTGCACGTCCATGTCTCGACCTTGTCGTCCAACCCGATGTAGATAAGGCCTGGGTCGTTGCGGAAGGTGGTCGGCGCATCGTGGTTTCCCAGGATATTGCCTGCGTGGGGGAAAGAAATCAGAAACGGGGGGGAGCAGCCAAAAGGGGAGCAGGGTTGAGTAAGTGCCCAGCCACAAGGGGGGCGGGGAAAGCTGAGGGCTGTGGGGGAGGGGGGTGAGGAGAGTGCAGTCGGGGGGAGAGGGAGCAGACAGAGGAGGGTTCCCGGGGGGGGCTGTTGGCAGGGAGGGGCGAGAGTGGGGGGAGAGAAGGGTGAGGTGAGAGCTGTAGCTCTGGAAGATCCGGGAGGTAGTGTAACGGGGGAGGGGAGATGCCGAAGTGTAGATCAGAAAGGGGAGCACGAGGGGACCAGAGCGGAGAGGCACGGAGGAGGTGAGGTGACATAGCTGGGAGGGCGGACGGGGATGGGGCAGCACTGGGACAGAGCAGGGTGAGTGAGGGCTGTGACTCTGGGAGAGCGGGGAGGTAGTGTAACAGGGGGGGGAGGTATATCGAAGTGGAGAGCAGAAAAGGGAGCGCGAGGGGGCCAGAGCGATGAGGCAAGGAGAAGGTGAGATGGCGTAGCTGGGAGGGCAGAGGGGGGTGAGGCAGCAATGGGACCGAGCAGGGTGAGTGAGAGCTGTAGCTTTGGAAGAGCGGGGAGGTAGTGAAACAGGGGGGGGAGATGCCGAAATGAAGAACAGGATGGGGAACAACAGGGAACCAGAGCGGAAAGGTAAGGACAAGGTGAGGCGGCATAGCTGGGAGGGCGGAGGGGGGATGAGGCACCACTGGGACAGAGCAGGGTGAGTGAAAACTAAAGCTCTGGAAGAGCGGGGGGGTAGTGTAGCAGGGGGGGGGAGATGTAGAAATGAAGAGCAGAGTGGGAAGCACGAGGGGACCAGAGCGGAGAGGTAGGGAGAAGGTGAGGTGGCATAGCTAGGAGGGCGGAGGGGGATGAGGCACCACTGGGACAGAGCAGGGTAAGTAAAAACTGAAGCTCTGGAAGAGCGGGGGGGTAGTGTAGCAGGGGGGGGGGGGATGTCGAAATGAAGAGCAGAATGGGGAGCACGAGGGGACCAGAGCGGAGAGGTAGGGAGAAGGTGAGGTGGCATAGCTGGGAGGGCGGAGGGGGATGAGGTAGCGATGGGATAGAGTAGGGTGAGTGAAACCTGAAGCTCTGGAAGAGCGGGGGGGTAATGCAAGAGGTGGGGGAGATGCCGAAATGAAGAACAGAAAGGGGAGCACGAGGGGACCAGATCGGAAAGGTAAGAACAAGGTGAGGTGGCATAGCTGGGACGGCGGGGGGGGATGAGGCAACAATGGGACAGAGCAGGGGGAGTGAAAACTGTAGCTCTGGAAGAGCAAGGGGGTAGTGTAGCAAGGGGGGGGAGATGTCGGAATGGAGAGCAGAATGGGGAGCACGAGGGGACCAGAGCGGAGAGGTAGGGAGAAGGTGAGGTGGCCTAGCTGGGAGGGCAGAGGGGGATGAGGCAGCAATGGGACAGAGCAGGGTGAGTGAGAACTGTAACTCTGGAAGAGCAAAGGGGTAATGTAACAGAGGGGAGGAGATGCCAAAATGAGGAGCAGAAAGGGGGGCACGAGGGGGCCAGAGCAGTAAGGTAAGGAAAAAGTGAGGTAGCATCGCTGGGAGAGATTCTCGAGGAGCGTACCGTTTGCCTTTTGCAGCTGCGCGACCGAGATCACATTCCGGTTCGTGAGGCGCTGCCGGCGGCGGGCTGCGAAAGCCTCGTGGTCAGACGCGCGGTGGTTGTTGGCGCACAAAGCGCACACGTGGCTGGAGAAGTTGAGCACCATGGGAGGCTTGTTCTCTTCCAGCGGGATTTCGGATGGAATGCGTTCGAAGTTCGGGTCGTCGGGGGTAGCGATTGGGAGCCCTGCGAGGTGCGTGAAGTATGTGTCCTCGTAGGGGTCCGAAACACGGTGGAAGTCCGCCAAATCCGCCAGCCAGTGCGCGCCGTCAGAATCGGTGGAGCCGAGGAGATAGGAGCGGATGTCCTCTGGATCGAAATCCAGAGGGACGTTGCGAATGGACAGGGTGGGTGCGCCGGCAGCCTTGGCAGCAGTGAAGGCTGCAAACCTGTCCTCAAACACCTTGAGCAGCAGGGGGCGGGAGTTGGAGACTTTGAGGGTGAGGGGAAAGAGTTTGCGGAAGGCCGCCGCATCTTCCTGTGACGGCCATGAGAAGAGCAGGCGGCCATACACACGGCGGGCCACGCGGTAGGGATCTCCTACGGTCTGCTCGAAGGAAGGGATAATGCCAGAAGAGAACATGAAGCCACACAGCTGCGCGTTGATGCCAGCGAAAATTTCAGAGCGGTGAGGCTCCAGCCCGGCTTCCGGGAGGAGAACATTGATCACCGCGCGGCGGCGCAGGGGGAAAAGCATCGGGGCAGCAGCATTCGTGCGCGCGCGCCGCAGATTGCGGGGGGCGCCGCCCGGGGTGGGTGAGGCGAAAAGCGAGGCGGGCAGCGTGGGGGCCAGGTTGGAACCTGAGGCAACGAACGCATAGGCGGTTGCGCGGGTTGGCTGGCCGTTGGGAGGTGCTGCAGTTGCGGCCAGCGACGGTGCCAGGCCTAACGAGGGCGCAGTGAGAGCAGCGACAGTGAGGGGCGCGGGGGAGAGTGCAGAGAGCGCCGGGGCCGAACCGGAGGAGGTGGAGGGGGAAGGATTGGGAGCGGGACTGGCATCAGGAACCATACACGGTTTCTTCGCAGCAGGGAGGTCAGCAGGGTCTGCGAGGTGGTGGAACATGCCTTCGGGCAAATCGTCCACAGCAAGGTCTTCCCCGGAGGCAACGAGTGCTTCCTCTTCGGCAGCGGACATCGTCTGGTCGGAGTTGTAGATCTGCTCAGCCATAGTGCAAGGAGAGTTGGGGAGGCGTGGGAGATTGGAAAATGTGAAGTGAATGCAGGGAGAAAGAAAAGGTCCGTTATATGTAGAGCGAGAGAAGGAGGCCCCGAGAGGGAAAGAAGGGGCAAGAGACGAGACGGGCGGCATGAGCTCCTGACAAGCAATGGAGCGTGGGTGCAGGGATCCCAGCAGAAAGCGTGAGCGGGGGGTGTGCGGAGAGCAGGCGGGAGGGGGATGAGCGGGGAAGGCGGGGAGGACCGAGCGGTTGCGAAAATTACGGGGCCGTGACGACGGAATTAAGGCCATGAAACGGGGCTGGGAGCCTAGTCGGCTGCCCAAAACCCGGGACCTTACGAGGGTCCGGATGCATGCGAGCGAAAAGTGAAACTGGCGGCCTAGGCGGCGCGCCGAGCTTCCTAGCCACATTAGTGGCACGGCCGGAGGTGGCCAGGGTGGGGAGACGTGGGGGGCCAGCGCCGAGCTGGCGCCAAACGTGGGGTGGCAGCGCCACGCGGGAAACGAGATGAAGTCAGAGACGCCATGAGGGCCGAGGCACGGAAGGGATAGGAAAATGAGGCGAGGAGCCGGAGATGGCGTTACGTGGGTGCGAGAGAATCCCGCCTGATAAGAGGGAGGAGAAGCGGGGGTCAGATTGGCCAGCAGCCTGAAGTGAGGGATGACGAAGCTCTCCTTTGTGATTGTTGTAAGGTTGGTTGGAGGAGGCCGATCGGTTGGCGTGGGCTTCAAACTTGCACAAACGAGGGTCTTGGGATAAGGGGAAATGGAAGGGGGAGAGGGGGGGTTCACGTGGTAGATCGGGTGGCGTGGCAGGGGTGTGTTGGCAGAAAAACATGAGGGTTTGTGCAGGGATTTACGGCGAGGGAACAGGGCTTCTGCAGGATCTGAAAGACTTACCTGGCGGGAATGTTGTCCTGGGATGCTGAAGACGGGTGGATGTCCAACCGTGGAACGTAGAGCAGGGAAAACTACAACGGCTGAGAGAGATGAGAAGGGGGCTGAGAGGGAGACGAAATCGTGCCGGAGTAGGGGCGAAGTGGGGTGTAGGGGGAATAAAACGCGAAGTGTTAGAAAAAGGAAGAAGAAAAACAGCAACTTACCTTGAAACGAAACTGAGTCGAGTAGAAGGAACCTGCCTAGGCGGTCTAGGGTTTGACTGGTTTCGCTGCCTAACTGGCGGAAAGTTGGGGCCTCGAAGGCCATGAGCTGGTTTGGGCTGTGTTGGTCCTAGTGAGAAAAGGCGGCGAGCTAGACGGGACACGTCCATGGGAAGGATTGGGATTGGGAGGACAGGGAAGCCATAGCATAGAAGTCTTTCCATAGCCAGTGGAGAGGGGCCTACCACACAGGGGCGAGTTTTTGATCTACCCCACCCTCCGAAGAAAAGTAACCTCGAAACAAGAAGCCAAGAAATGACGCAAGAACAAAAGGCCTATTCTCAGAATTACAGTTCAGGGTTAATATTCAATCTGCAATACCTTATCGTGTACACCATGAAACTAGCAGGCATCTGCCCGTTCCCCTACCATAACATGTGCGGCTCGGCCCAGAACAGTGACTGTCCTTCTTCCCGGATCCAACCACCCTGTAAACTTGTCCACCCACCCACAAAAACACCCAAGGCGCGTGTTACAGAGTTCACATTCGCTCGGAATCTTCTCCAACCGCTGCGTAAAGTATGGAAAACCCACTAAACCGCCTTACTGGACCCTGCAAATGACGACGCGGGCGCTAAACCCCCTACTCTCCTTTTCTTCGACCAGGTTCTTAGTAGAGGGCGACGGTCTTTATCAGGCCCGCCGCCGCCGCCGCTCCCTAGCTCTCCCTCCCAACCCAACACACAGCCCCTCAAAGCCCACCCTTCGCACTCATTCTAGCTGAACAAATCTGCCCCTCTATTCTGAGGATGACACTGTAGTTGCAGTTTTGACGCGCTATTTATCTGGCTGGCCTGGAACCAACCAACGCCATTCAACTGATCGTTCCTCAGACAGCCACATCATCTAGAGCCTTCCCTCTCCTCTTCCCCCTGTTGAGAATTCTTGAGACCGTCACCACATTTCTTCCAGTTAGAGTCCACTCCAAAGTTCCGAACTCTCCTCGCTACTTTCCTCTAGAAATTTCCGTCTCCAGACCGCCTTCACATTTCATCCACCAAGAATCGTTCCGTTACTTAGTCTCGCATTACGCGCTTTGACGCACACCACGTGTCGTACCTTGTACTGCAACTTCAGTACCGCACAGCACAACTAATCTCCGCGTCTATTAATATCCGCACCTAGACCCCAACCTGCTTCCGTAGCAACCTGTTCAGCCTCAAGTTCCTGTTGCTAGTTAAACGAAGACGAGTAGCCTAGCCACATTTCAGCCTTCTATTTAGCTATGTAACGGACGTGACGTACCAGCTCAGAGCAGCTTAGTAGGTTCTACTAGTCGCTCAAGAGAGGTTTTCATATTTAACCTTTTGCCTCGAGGGCATTTCTCGACGCGGCTTTTCGTCCGTATTTATATTCGTCTGCGTAGCATGGCAGTCACCCTCCCGAACCGCGGTTATGATCTTCGCACGTCGTCCCTTCGCCGACGACAATGTACGCTTCCGTGCCACATCATCGCCCTCCTTGCTTACGCCAGCTTCCTTGCAGCTCCTTCTCGCGCCGCCCCATCTCCTTACCTCCCCGTCGAAGCGCGCAACCAGCTGCTACTCCCTGGCGCTTCTTCCAGCCATCACGGCGGATTTCCCGGGGTGCACTTGCCCGCGCGGCGCGAGGACCTAAGTCTGAAGATTAACTACACCAACGTGTACATGTTCTGCTACCGCGAGACCTACGCGCGCATGCCGCCAACCAAAAAATGCGCGAAAAGGTTCCGCGGGATCGGACCGGTAAGCCGCACGTGCTGCACTTGCGCGTGCCGCACGCTTGCTGCTGGGCGGAAAGGAAAAAAAGAGAAGGAGGGAGGGGGGGGAGGGGGGGGGGGGGGGGGGGGGGTTTGGGGGAAGGAGGGGGGGGGGAAGTGGAGGGAAGGGGAAGGAGGGAGGATTGGGGAGAGGCGCGAAAAGGTTCCGCGGGATCGGACCGGTAAGCCCGACGTGCTGCATTTGCGCTTGCCGCGCTTGCGCGCCGAGCGGAAACATGAAAGGGGAATAGGGGAGAGGCGGGAAGTGGAGTGGGGTTGAAGGGATGTTGGGGGGGAGGGGGGGGAAGGGAAAAGGAAGGAACGCTCATAGGAGTCAAAATCGAGCAGAATAAAAAGAGCGATAAATCTGCGTTACTCCGCAAACCCCCCCATTCCCTCCCTCCCCACACACACGCACACCCTTCCTTCACCCCTTCCCCCCACCGTCTCTCTTCCCTCCCCCATCATTTCTCCCATCGCGTCCCTTCACCGCCCATCGCCGCCCATTGTCCCTCATCACCACCCAGTGGCGCCGCCCACCGCCCTTTCCCGCCCCCATCACATGCCCATGTTCCACTGTTCTTCCACACCCTCCTACATTCCACACCCTCCTACATTCCACACCCACATCACATTCTCCTGTTTCCCCACTCTCGCCCCCACATGCATTTCCTTGGAACGCCCCCAACTCCCATTCTCCATGCGCTCTTGCCCCATTTCTTCCCTGCCCACATTTTCCCCCCTCTGCCCCTTCCCACTCCCCTTCCCCCTCCCCTCTTCCGCCTCCCCACCCTGGGCTCCAGATGTGCTTGCCGCAACAGTCGATATCCACTGCTCCTGTCCCTCCCCACCCTTCCCCCTCCTCATTTCTCCCTCCCATTTCCCGCCTCCACCTCCCCACCATGGGCTGCAGATGTGCTTGCGTAAACTGCCCGCAACTGTCGATATCCACTGCTCCTGTCCCTCCCCACCCTTCCCCTCCCCCTTTCCCCTTCCCATTCCCCACCTCCACCTACCCTCCCTGGCCTCCATATGTGATTGCGTGCATTTCCCTCACCTCTCCATCCTCCACTGCCCCTGTCCGTCCCTCTCCCCTCTCCAACCCCCTTCCGTACCCCCCTCCCCTCTTCCCTTTTCTCCCCTTCGCTACCCACCTGCACTGCAGGTGTGCATACGCAGCTGCCCGGCGTTTGGAGGGCAATGGGTGAACTGTGGCTATGGCTGCTCCCCCTCCTACAAGATGTGCATCAAAACGGTCTGGAAGCAGGTGGGTTGACTGAAACTTCTGAATAAAATCAAAGGATCAATATGAGCCGTTGGATGCAATGGGTGAACTGCGGCTCTGGCTGCTCCTCATCGTACAAGATGTGCCTTAAGACTCTCTGGTAGCAGGTGAGTTGAAACTTCCAGGAAGGTTCAAAGCATCACTATGACCCGTTTGAGGGGTCATGGTTCAACTGCGGCTATGGCTGCTCTCCCTCTACAAGATATATCTCAAGACTGTCTGGAAGCAGGTGGGTTGCAACTTCGAAGAAGTTTCTGCACTGTGAGCAATGCACGTAAGCTGCCAGGTTAGTGGGAGAGCTTTGAATTAAATGTTTCTCTCTATCCCTCTATTTGAGAATACCGTACCACTCAACTCCTGTGTGGCCTCCCTTCCCTAACTCCTTTTTGTCATTCGTTACAGGCTAGCTCAATAACGTTTCTGACGTACAAGGTCAAGCTGCCGGCGATCGACCCGTATATCGACCCCGCCTTTAAGATATCAAAGCAGCTGAGCAAAGTGAGGCATTAGCGTGTAAACCGCCTGCAGTGTTTTTCTTTTCCTGTACTGAGTTCACTCGTATGTCATCGCACAAATCCCCACCATACCACCCGTTTCTTTCAAACTTCTATGTGTGTTCTTTCAGCAGCCACTGTGCATGCACCTCTTGAAACAACCATCCTGCTTTCCAACTCATCTGTCCTTTTTTCCTGGTCTGCCCTCCTTACTTTCCTGTGTCACAGTGGTGGAAGAAAATCTTCCCACCAATGCTGTCCCACCTGAAAAAGAGATCGGATTTTAATAATATTGCCCAGAAAACCATTGCCAGCCGGACTCTCACTGCTCTGTTCATCGCAAGCTATGCCAAGCCTGCTCAGGGGAATGACCGGAGCACAATTACCTTTGTGGATCCTGGAACAGAGGACAAGGAAGCAGCACTGAAAGAATTCAAAAACTCACACTATGTGATATCAGAGCATGCGTTCAAGACAGGGAAAGGACTGGTGGGGACGCTGGGGTTTTTGGATTTCACGATTAATCTGGAGAATGCTGCTAAGCTTGACCCATCAGGAGTCATTGATTTTATGCTGCAGTTTGGCCACATGCCATGCGGAAAAGGTGAGAGAGGTGCTGTTCTTCTTTATTTCATGTCCTTCTCTCGTCGTTTGCGCTCTGGTCCAGTTTTACTTCATTCATGTGTCCACCGCCTGTGCACATTGCAACCTTGTGCAGTGAAGTGTGTCAAGTGTTATGCGATCCGTGCGAAAGCATGTACGATTGCACCAACCTGCGTCAATGGCAAGTGTGGCAATGCTGGGGTTGAGGCAGATGGAACAAGCTGCACTGGTTTTGGAAACGGAGGAAATTCCTACTCAGGAACCTGTTCCAGTGGCGTCTGTGTCAGCAGCTTTGCCACGTCCTACTACAGGAAAAAGCAGCAGGAATCACTCTGGATACCTGAGGGTTATACAGATTCAAGCACAAATCTGACCATCAGCCCAGAAGTGTATACAACTTCTGAGGAAGAGTACCTAGATACAAGCTTACAGTTATGGGATGTTCTGGCTTCGCAGTCTGGCTCTTGTTCCTTCAACAATGGTGGCTGTGGCTCATTCATCTGCCAGGTTAACGAGGGGAAGAACAGCTCAAGCTGCATCAACCCACATGGTAAGCCTCTACAGCTACCCGTTTGCACTGGTGTTAATTCCCATGTCATTACCTTTCTTACACACCCCTGGCTAACCCACCCCCAACCCATCCCTTGAAACAGGCCATGGATTCGCTCCTGCACCCATGGCCACCAATTTTCCATTTGGCGAAACCTTGGAATATCAGTACCCTGTCAAGGCAGTGGACTGCTTGAAGCTCTGTAAAGTCAACACCAAGTGTGCTCTTGCTGTCACGACATGGGGCAACGAGTGCTGGCTCAAGTCCAGCATCGGCGACCCGGTTACTGCAGAGACTTATCAGGCTTTCAAGAAGCTGTAGTTTAGGAGATGTTGTCTTTACAAGCGCTTTGCATCTGGTAAACATTTCTGTGTTGTTGTGGCTGATAGAGGGGAGGTACACATCTTGTGTTCTTGTCCTCCGGCCATTTTCGTACATCAGCTTTGTGCTTACATTATACCCGTACTTATATGCACCTATAATTATGTTGTAGAACATTGCAGTGTACACAAGAAGCTTGCTGCTTCATACTACTTCTGCTGGCATTGTATCCAAGCATCACAAACACCTACCACTGCATCCCGGTGCGAGTCTTCACAACAACCCCTTCACCACCCCCTGAACCAGTGCCCCACCGTTCCTTCACACCCACCCACCCAACCCCTTCGCCACACATTTCACACTGCCGTGGTGTTTCCTCCCCAGTTCTGCACCATCAGTCCTACCGTATCACTCATCATGACCATGGAAATGGCCTTCTGGCCCAGAAACATCAATCTGAAAAAGGCAAGAAGAGTTAGGTGGTACCTACTGAACCGTTATAGAGTGTCTGGCCAATGCATCATAACTTCATGCCCACCTTCAGCTTGCTGGCGTAGGTCTTCGCTACTTGAATGGCTATGTTCCTCTCTGTGATGGACTGGAACATGATGTTGAACATCACACCCTTGCGCGGAACCCAGCATGCACCAAGAGAAGAAGAATTGGTGCTCCACCGAAGCCCATAAAACTGCCATTTGCCACGCCTCAATCCCCATAAGAAACGCCCACCTGTTGCGACAAGCCAGAGGTGCCTTACCTGCATTGCTTGGTTATACGACTCTCTCCTAATTAACGAGTTTGAGGTGGTGACCAGTTTCACCCGCGCTTTGTTGATTCGCAACAGAGCCTGATCTACATTAGCAGTTGTGCTCCCATCATTGTTGCATATGAGGACCTGAACACAAGAATTAGTTGCAGATTGACCGCATAGACGAATCAAAGTGCAACCTAAGGACGTCATACCGAAAACTGGACGTCATTAAGAAGGACCGTCTGAGCCAGCAGCGTCTCGTACATGCTCCCTGGAAGCAGAGACACAAATTAGCTGCGGCTACAATCTTCATGTGACAAAAATCTCAACGTTATCTGACCTGGTTGGATCTCCCCCGTTGTCAGAAACATAATTCCCTGACAAGCTGATGATGATTCAATCGCTGCCTGAATGACACAGCCCAGGTCTTCAGGCTCAGTTGCATACATAGTCCCTTCCGCGCCTGCAAATGCATTTTATTTTGTGGTAAGGGCAATCAGAAAGATTAAGAATAGAACGGTTGGCGATGTATGATGACGGTAAGTGATGACTACGAACTACCTATGATTAGCTGAGTATGCTTCCCATCTTTGCTGGATCGATACCAGCGAATGTTACACTGGGATGGGTGCGCCACGTCATCAGACAATGCAACTACGAACAGAAGGCTCCCTAGCTCTTCACTTCCTTGGATCTCGTATCTCATGATCCCCCGCTCGCCGACCATGCGAGACTTGAGCTCCATCACTTCTGCCTTAAGACGCGAAACCTCTTCCCCCTTTGATGCCAGCAGTGATAAAAGCGCATCATCATCTCCCTGTAACTTACGAAGAATTTTAGCACAGCTAAGACGAAGAGGCTCCCCTCAAACCATGATCCGATAAGACTAGCCTGGTTTTGCAGGTCTGTTGACTTGAGCGGGATTTCCGTCCATTTGTTTTCCGAGCGATCGCTGGACCTCCGGCGCAAAGCCTTGCCAACCTGAGAAACAACAGTACGGCTTTACCCACAGTTGCATTGAAAGCGACTCCGCGCACTTTTTTGGTGCTCACAATCTCCAAGATTGAGCCGACTTCATCCCGCTGGCTGCCATCGAGCAGAAGATGAAGTTTTTCCAAACGAGTCTTTAGTTCTTCCAATTCTGACTTGGTCAGCCTTCCCTCAGCGTCCTGTCAGTTACGTGATGTATTCAGGCGAGCAGCGGCAATGGCGGATTGCTTGCAGCAGATAGATGCTCACGTCATAATCCCTAGAGACGACCTTGGGTCCCTGAACCGATAAGTTAGGCTTGATGTCAAACTTCTTCGCAAGATCCTTCACTGTCGATTTCCTTGGCTGTAGAGCATCCAGGTGTAAGTTCACATGTACACCACACTTAACGATAGGATCACCCCACTACTACATTCCGCACCTCCTTATTCTCCACAGACTTAAGAACATTTTCGTCGGGAGTCATCATGGCGGAACGGCACAACTGCCAGCTCGTAGATATTGGAGTTGGCTTGTCTTTGGGATGGCAGCAACCGAATGTCCAAGGTAGCTTGAAAGCTTGAAACATATTGTGCAGTTGAATGACAAGCAGTGAAATTGAGCTCCGTTGGTGTTCATGAGGGTCCCCAGCGCATCGGCAAATCGAAGAGGAGTTGTACTCTATACAGAGTTCCCAGTTACGAATGTCGATTTGCACTAAACAGTGGATTTCTTCTCACAGCCAATTATACAGAGCTTCCAGTGTGGAATAAGAAATGATGCAATATAGAGCGCAACCATTACAAAGACACAACCAACATGATCAGAACAGAAACCAGTATCGAAAAATGGCACCCTAGGCTTTCTGAAAGTCGGGAACAGGCGGCTCATTTGGACCTGGCGCAAGGTCATTCTTCTTGAACTTTTCTTCATCAAAGAAGCACGCCCGTACTGTTCTTCCACCGAAAAACCTCCCATCAAGGTCAACGAGTGCCTTGGTTGCAGATTCCGGCCGATCAAAGGTGATGAATATGCGAACAGCTTCCACTGGTCGACAGGAAGGATCTGTAATCTCAAATATAAGCACCCGTGTTACAGTGCCATATTTGAGACACTCACCTGCCACCTCCTCCTCCAGCTCTTCATCCACCTCTCCCGGACCAACCTGAGCACAAAACCAGCATAATCAGCACCAAAACCACATATCGCAATTGCTTGTTTCCAACATGGGTGCTTGTGTATAAAATCTGTTCCAACATGGGTGCCCGTGTATAAAATCTGGGAGCAAACATACCATGTTTCTTAGCAGGACAACCTTTGATGGAGGCCCATTGAGTGCCACACCACCCAGCTTCGCCCTCTTTCCCCCAGCACCAGCAGCATTATTCTCCGCTCCCTCTCCTCCACTCCCTTTCTTCAGAGGCTTGGCAGCCACAATCACTCCTCCGTGCTTGTCCGTCTTCTTTGCCATGAGAGGAGTGGTGATACCCTGCTCCTGCTTACCCAGCCCTTGCCCAGCCTTCCATCCCATCTTCATCATCATCCGCTCTGCTGCTGTTAACCCGTCGCCAGAATTCTTGGGCATGGCAAACCCCTCCGACCTGCCAAGTGCAACAGAAGACCCGGGTTCAGTGATGATCCAAGTAAAGCAAGACTACACTACAGCCGAGGATGTCACGATATATACGATGGAACAGGTCAATTCAAGAAGCTGGCGACTGGATGATCAAAGAATTAGCTAGCTGATGCACAGCCATCAGCCATGCAAAGAGAAACAAGCTACAACTACTGCTTAGGAGGTTGAGAAGTCTCACTTGGGAGGAGATGGCGATCTTTCTGCAGCTCGTGGGCTTGCCGAAGCTCCTCCAGCTGCTGCTCCTAGTCCCCCTCCTGCTCCCCCTCCTGCCCCCCCTCCACTCAGCATGGCTCTGCGGCGCCAGGCCTCCTCCCCACTGACACGCAGCTGGGAGCGATCTGGGCCAGCAGAGGCTGCAGCTGCTGCTGGTGATGCTGATGCCCCCCCCTCCTGCTCTGCTGCCTTGGCTGCTGCTGCACGCTGCAGGAACGGATGACAGCAGACAGAAAAGTCAGTGTGAAAATTAGGGCGCTGATTAAATCAGTTCAGGTGCTGATTGAATTGCGCGAATACGCCAAAACGCCATGACGAAATAAGAAATGAACTTGCATACGAATGGCTTCGCAAACTGAGCGAGCATGTCTGTTTGTCTTGCCTTGACTCATGTGAGTTGCTATGCCAACACATGTAAGCGCCCAATGCTCACTGTATATCTCGAGAGAACCTACCTCACGTTCAGCCTTGATCGCGAGCTCAAGGTCTCTCTGCCGCTGCAGCACGGCCTCCCGTTCCTTCTCCCGCTCCTCCTCCTCCTTCCTCCTCCGCTCCATCTCCCGCCGCCTCTCCTCCTCAGCAGCCTTCCTCTTCCTCTCCCTTAGTATCTTCTCGTAGTCATTAGGTCTAGCCGGGTCGTATTCGTCTACTACTGCAGCAGCTGCAGCAACCAATGCGGCTCCGCCACCTGGCGGCAGGACAGGGGGAGCAGGCGCAGGTGCAGGCGGAGGTGGAGGCGCAGGAGCAGAGCCCGGGGGGGGATACGGGGGAAGGGGAGGCGCGGAACCATAGGGGGGGACAGGAGGAGGAAATGCTGCGGCTGCGCTGTTGTAGGGGGGCGGAGGCGCCTGATATCCTGGATGAGCGGCGAAGCGTGGATCAGGGGGATACGCGGGGGCGTGAGGTGGGGGAAGTTGCGCGGAGTAGGCGGAGGAAAAGGGGGGAGTAGCCTCGCCAGCGGAAGCGGAATCAACTGCCATTGGGGTTGCCTGCGCTTCCGTTACCCCGGCTCCGGGACCCAGTCCCGATGCTGCTGCCGCTGCAGCTGCTGCTGCGGCAGCTGCAGCAACAATTGCGGATGTACTTGTCCCCCCGCTTGTTGCGCCGCTTACTGGCGGCGGCGGCGGGGCCGGCAAACGAGCCGATTTTGCTGAGGGGGAAGCCGCAGTGGATGCCGAAAGGGACTGACTGCGGAGGACTGATGTTGGCGGAGCAAAGAGGGTCGCAGCGGAGGGCTTGCGCAGCGTAGCGGGAGTCATTTTGGCGGACCATAGCTTCGGACGACCCGCGGACGATGCGGACGCGGAAGCGGCGGAAGGATTTGCGTCCGAAGCGGCCTTGTCCGCATCGGAAGGCGGAGGTAAATCTCCAAACAACCCACCCATGGTGAGCGAAAAATGCGGTATAGATTATGCCAAGTAACCTTATGAATGTCCTCTCAACTGGCAACCACGGCCGCGGAGTTAATGTGGAGGTGTGCTCCTAGCCAAAGGCAGGAGTTAATTGTAAGTCAGGATTGGGGATGAGGTATGATTTAAAATCTTGACTTGCGTACCTGTGAAGTGTTACGCTTGTTGATAGCGAGAAAACTAGAAACGCGTTTCCCTTCTGCAAAATTCGGTGTGGGCAGAATGAGAGTGCTCTGCAGACACGTGAGAGTGCTCCGCAGCGCTGGACAAGTTTTTGCTGCCCTCGAACGAAAGAGGGGCTGACATTACTGGCAGAAGCTCAACTGACCAATCAACGTGCTCCCTGCTGACTCGACCTCGAGAAACACTGGCCAATTCTGGGCGCTTTTTCCATCCAGCGGTGTGTTGTATGCCAGCCTTTCCTGCCCAGGTTTCCAGCTGATCTCTATGATCTATCACAAGCGTTTCAACTATCTCATGAACTACACAGCAATCCACACGACACGAAACCATGGTCAAGCTAGAAGCAAGGAACCAGGACGACTTTTGTGAGAGTAGCTGAAGACTAGAATGCCAGGAAGAGTAACACCGGACGATCTGTGTTAGCTTTTAGGAATGCGAGGGAGAAGAGAAGAGAGATCAGGTGTGCGTTGTGCGTTGTAATGCCACGAATGTGGCTGAAGAGTGGGGTAAGGTATAGGAAGTGAAGTTGATTTTAGCAAGGCTTAGCGAATTGTAGCGACCATTGCCACTGAAGTCATTCTAGACTAGCGTGGGCTCACGTGGCCTGTGCTTCGTGATCGTTTGTCGGCCCGCCTACCACGCGTGTGGTCCAAAGCAGCACGAGTACCATGGTCCGTTGGTAGCGCTTATTCACTCCCTTTCGTGTACATAAATCAGCTGTATAACCTGTATAGATCTCTGGGTGTATAGCGACACGCATGGCGCAGTTGCTTCTGGCACGGCTGCTAGACTGGGGAAATCCTAGAGATAATGGATCAACATGGTGGTCAGAGAGACACGATGACGATGATGGTGCAGAAACATCCTTGGAAGACCTTTACGATGATTACAAAGAGCCGCCAGAACTCCCCGAGGATGTTCTGATTCATTGCTTCCAACACCTTCGCTCGTATCATGACATTGCAAGGCGAGTTCTAGGATACTCATCCAGTCTGCAAATTCTTTCTCAACTCCCACCGCCTTGTTACGAGATTCGCGTCATTTTTAATATATTTTTTTCTGCTCGCCCATCGCGCGTTACAGTGCCGCCAGAGTTTCGAGGTCTTGGCGTAATGCAGCTGTGCGATTATGGGGTCATCGACAGCGCTTAACCTTCGCTAAGTGCCGTAATCCGGAATCCGCACTGCCATCGATCATTCCCATGGCTTGCGTTGTCACAGAGCTCGACCTGTACGTGGATTCGCTGTCAAAAACTTCAACCCACGTGCACTGCTAATCCGTTCAACAGCTCGAGCGTGGTCAGAGTCTCATTGTAGCTTAAGTTGGATAAACATACTGTGGTTCCTTATGTGCAGATGTGGTTGCCGCTTGTCAGATGCATCACTCGAGGCTGCCAGTAAGGCTACTTCTGTTTGCCAGCTTCAGTCATTATCTCTGTGGGGAGTGAAGGGCGTCTCTGATGCTGGCATCTGCCGACTGGTAAGCCCCTTGTTTCATCGTGCCTCGTTCCAGTCATAATTGACAAAATACTGCTTGTCATTACCGTTTTAAGCTTATGAACTGAGGGGTATGTCGGCAAGTAGAGCACCCATTCCAGAGAGACCCTAAGTCAAGCAAACGCAGGAACTAGCAGCAAATTCATGTGTGGGGTGGAATTCACGTACTTCCTGGGTACGAGGCCTGTTTGATCAGGCCATACGTACTTGCAATCAATGCCTCCAGGTTTGGTTGGCCAGTCATTGCCGCTATTGCTATCTATGGTGTACATTGCGACTTTCCTGGAGGCATACATGTGTGCATGATAGCAGACTGGGATGGTTCTTGATGCTTGCCTCCATCCATGCAGGTGGTGAAGTGCAAGGGGCTCAAGCATCTAAACTTGGGAGGAACCTGTGTCACCTCATCTTCAATCTTCAACATCGCCCGTTCATGCCCATCTCTGGAGGTTGGTTCTCCTGGCCCCGAGTCTTGAAGCAATCTGTTGCATTTCACTCCTTGTGACATGGCTTAAATGTCCTTTTGTCCACCCCTTATCCTACAGATTCTGAATTTGTGGGGATGTCGTAAAGTGACGGACAAGGGAGTTCTAGCTGTGGTGGCAGGATGTATGCAACTGAGAGAACTCAACTTGTGGGGTGTGCCGCTATCTTTTCATTGCCTTGCATTTCTCATGTCTAGATGCCCAGATCTTGAAATCAAGCCTACACCAGGGGTTAGGACAGGTTTTCCAGCATATGGTATTGTGCGGCAAGCAGCTTGACTGATGTTTTGGCATGACCAACATTAACTTACCAGCATCATTTTTATGTTGAGCAGTATGAGACAGGCTGTGACAGTGCAGATGGGCTGTGACAGTGCAGCAAGTTACCCTATTTCAACTGCGTTATCTTAACTTGTGTATCATTTTGCTCAATTACGGTAGAATCCCTCCACTTCCTGTTCCAAACTCTGTCTTGCATGTAAACCAACTAACACATGTCCAATACAGCCACACATGCCATGGAATCATGACACTACACCATATGCCACTACATTCTACTACCCTAGACACCGTATCATCAAGACGTCACAAAGAGAAAACGATTCTTCCCAATACACATTTTCCTCACAGAACCAGATCTCATCTACTTGCCTCCCCAGATGATGCCACCGTGGGTGGCAAAGAAGGGAGCAAACACAAGAGACTCCACAGCCATCAGCTTGATCAGAATGTTCAGGGACGGGCCTGATGTGTCCTTCAGGGGATCACCAACAGTGTCGCCAATAACTGCAGCCTTGTGGGGATCAGAGCCCTTGGGGCCAAGGCTCTTGGCATGAGCAGAGTTGCCAGCCTCAATGTACTTCTTGGCGTTGTCCCACGCACCACCAGTGTTGGACGCGGAAATGGCAATCTGGACGCCAGACACCAGCGCACCCGCCAGCATACCAGCCAGAGTGGTAGTTCCAAACAGAGTTCCCGCAATCACAGGGCTCAGCATCACAAGTGCGCCAGGAGGGATCATCTCACGCAGAGAAGCAGCAGTCGAAATCTCCACGCACTTCTTGTAGTCTGGCTTCGTGGTTCCCTCCATCAGGCCGGGCATGGTGTTGAACTGGCGACGAACCTCCTCCACCATTGCAAGAGCAGCCTTGCCCACACTCTTCATGGTCATGGCAGAGAACCAGTAGGGCAGCATAGCACCAACAAGGAGCCCCACGAAGGCCTGCATCCAGAAGAGATGCATGTAAAGATTAAGTCACCACACTACAGGCTGAAAGTGCTTCACAGTGCTGCAGTGATTTGAAAAAGCATACCTGGGGCTCAGTCACATTGACAACGTTAACCTTGGCCCGGCTCACATAAGCTCCGAACAGAGCGAGGGACACCAGTGCAGCAGAACCGATGGCGAAGCCCTGTAAGCAATTAACAAAAGCGCAACTTCAAAGACACGAAAAGGAAAATGGAAAATATTCACACAACGTAAAACAAAGAACTGACCTTGCCAATAGCAGCAGTGGTGTTTCCAGCAGCATCAAGAGCATCGGTGCGCTCACGGATCTCCTCACCCATACCCGCCATCTCAGCAATGCCACCAGCATTGTCACTGATTGGCCCATACGCATCAATGGCCAGACCAGTTGCAAGAGTGCTCAGCATGCCAAGAGCAGCCAGGGCAATGCCGTACATGCCAGCGAACTGGAAGCTCACGTAGATCGCAGCGGCAATAGCGAACACCGGAATGATAACCGACTTATAGCCAAGGGCAAGGCCAAAAATGATGTTGGTGGCCGCACCAGTACGGCAGGAGTCAGCAACGTCTTGAACGGGCCTGGAGTTCAAACAAGGTTCTGAATTAGTAATTCGTTTTTTGCTTCCATTCAATCTCTTGATGTAGTCTTCTTCGAGGGGTTGCTAGGAAAGGGAGAGGGAAACAATCACAAAACCATCCACTTACACATAGGCATTGCTCGTGAAGTACTCGGTGACGAAACCGATAAGGAGCCCAGCCCAAAGTCCAGATGCGACGCACGCGAATGCGTACCTACAAGATCAGGTGAAATGTTTAGCGCAATGCCGGTGATACCATTCAGAAGTGCAAGCGCAACAAATTCCGGAGACGGACTCACCAATTCTGAACAACCTTGTCGCCCTGGCCGACAACAGTGATCTTGAAGGTAGGCGGAAGAGCGTAGAACGCGACTAGGAAGATCACGGGAGTCATCAGCACGGTGGAGATGACCAGCTGCTTCTTCAATGCGGGCTCAATCTCAGCCTTCTCCTTCACTTGCTGAATATCGGTGGCGATGATGGTGGTGATCAGGCACACAAGAATACCGGCACCGCTGACCAGAAGAGGGAAGCACATGGCGGAGAAATCATGATCCTTCCCAGGCTGAGACAGGGCCGAGATCACAAGGGCTGCGCAGGTGGACTCGGCAAAGGAGCCGAACAGGTCAGAACCCATGCCAGCAATGTCACCCACATTGTCTCCCACGTTGTCAGCGATCACCTGTACAGATGAAAGATGAATCAGCATTGTTCAGAGGGTTTCAAATTAAACGCTAGAAAGCCACTTGATAGCAATACTTACAGCAGGGTTCCTGGGATCGTCCTCAGGAATGTTCCTCTCAACCTTGCCCACAAGATCCGCACCAACATCGGCAGCCTTGGTGTAAATACCACCACCAACACGACCAAACAGGGCCACAGAGGAACCACCAAGGCCGTAACCTGTGATGGACTCGTACAGGCCGGCCCAGTCATCGCCGTAGTACTTCCTGTACGCGAGGATGGTCAGGAACAACACCAGCAGCCCGTTTGCCGACAGGAGGAAACCCATGACCGATCCAGCGCGGAAAGCAGCGACGAATGCTGCAGGAATTCCCTTTCTAGCTTCCATGGTGGTCCTCGCGTTGGCATCTGCACCATCAGCGAAGAAATGTTGGAGTTAAAATAGGTAAAGATAGTGACCGAGCTGATCGACGGATATCTATTACGGGGAAAACAGCAAAATATGTGGTGCTTACATGTAGCAATCTTCATGCCGAGGTATCCCGAACCCGTCGATGTCAGCGCCCCGAGGACGAATGCCAGAGTGCTGAAACCAGCATTGGCAATGCCCTGCTTATCAAAGTTGTCGACGGATCCAAGGAAGAGAAAGATGATCACGGAAAAGCCGCTCATGAAGACGGCCAGATACTTGTACTCCGTGGTCAGGAACGATTCCGCACCTGTAAAATGACAAGAGAACTTGTCATGCCAGGTGCACATTGAACGCTTCTGGTAAATGTACCTGACATGGTGGTCAAGGTAACCTAAGAAGTTCCAGAAAAAAACGTAATGCTGTTTCACGTACCCATGGAAATGGCGGACTGAATATCAGCAACCTGCTGGATGACAGTGTCTGCTGTCCCATCTTCCAGAAGACCGTACTGGCCGTCGGGAGCACCTCCAATGCGGATGCGAGAGACCATAAACCATTGGAAGATAGCGAAGAGAATGCCAACAACTGCAGTTGTTGGAATAAAGACATTCAGGAAGAGATCAGGAAGTGCCCCTTGAGCATGCTTGGAGACCTCCGTGACGAGTGTCACAGCATCAGCCATGGCTGGCAAGCTCAAGAGTCAAAATGAGTCTGTAATCGGCTGGACCTGGAGCTGCGAAGCTGCTCCTGCTAACTGGTTATCTGACCATCAACAAGAAATTGGGGCTTTTACGGGAATCTCTGGGAGAAGGAAAATGGATTTCAGATCAGAATTCATGAAATTCGCCAGCGGGAAACTGGAGCGGAGCTGCGCTGTGCATCTGATCTGGCTGCGACACGTGAAATCTCTACTCGCTATTGGGAACTGATAGCCGCTCGATGTACACATATGAAAGTGCACTTGGAGGCTTCGACTGGATTGGTGAGCAGTTTTTCTGCAATCAGTGATACAATCGAGGGCAATGGTGTATTCGACAATAGGGACACGAGTTGAATCACAAGTTCCAGGTTTCCTGTGAAAATTTGCAACGCCCATCCAACCAATTTGTGCTCTCCCCTGAATCCTTTCCCTCCTAGACTTCCTACGCCCGCATCATTACACACAATCTCCTGTCCCACGAAGTTTTACCGCAATCATCGGCAACAGATTCGTGCAGGTCAGTAGCTGTGCTTCTCCTTTCCAGCTTCGCCTCCTGTCACTACCTAGACTCATGTGGTTTTCGGCAGAGAGAACTGTGGATTTGCAGTTGTGGGGTCAGCCTCTGAGTATACTGCAGGATAACGAATCTATGCACGTGGGGACGAGCGTATGGGAGGCGTCACTAGTGTTCGCGAAATGGTTAGAGAAGAATTTCAAAAACGATGAATGCGAGCTCTCAGGCTGCAAGGTCGCTGGAAAACGTGCGGTCGAGCTTGGAGCGGGATGCGGCATAGCTGGTAAGCCCGTCGCGCCTCACGGTTCTTTAAGTCTTACCCACACTAGATGTTTGGTTGTCTCGCCTACTTCGAATAATGCAGTTAAGGTGCTTTCCCTTCTCATTATTTCACATGCATTGGCAGGAATGGCTATGGCTTTGCTTGGCTGTGATGTCACTGCGACAGACATACAACCAGTGCTCCCTATTTTGAAACGGAATTTGAAGAGGAATCTTAACTCTCTATCTGAGGCTTACAAAGCATCATTCTCAGCACCAGGGAAACTCAAGCCTGTGCAACTCTACTGGGGCAATGACAAGCATATTTGTTCAGTCAAGCCTCCCTTCGACTTCGTCATTGTGACTGACGTGGTGTACATAGAGGAAGATGTTGAGAGGTTGATTTCAACAATGGCGGCAGTAAGTGACAAGAAAACTACGCTGGTGCTTGGTTATAGACTACGACAACAGGAAGCTCATGATAAGTTCTGGAGCTTGCTACCTTCCACATTTGTGATCGTAAGGAAAGTAGAAAAGGATGAGTTGCAGAAAGATTTCTCATTTGAGGGGGTCGACTTATACATTTTATTATTGAAATGAGAGGTGAGGCTAGACAAGTCACTTTACAGTCATGCTCCCAGGAGGTTTAGGGACTTACTAGTCCTTTCAAAGAAAGAGTGAAGTACGCATGTCTGATAGGTACTAGAAGGTTCTGAAAATTCCACATACGTTTCTACGTATTAACTCTCCTAGAAAAAGGCTAGAGTGTGGGTCAGCTAGATGCGACTTGCATAGAAAAAGGTCATTATTGATGATCCTTGACATTCCAACTCCAAACATAGAGCTAAAGCTTCCAACAATCTACTTGCCACCCCAGATGATGCCACCGTGAGTGGCAAAGAAGGGAGCAAACACAAGAGACTCCACAGCCATCAGCTTGATCAGAATGTTCAGGGACGGGCCTGATGTGTCCTTCAGGGGATCACCAACAGTGTCGCCAATAACTGCAGCCTTGTGGGGATCAGAGCCCTTGGGGCCAAGGCTCTTGGCATGAGCAGAGTTGCCAGCCTCAATGTACTTCTTGGCGTTGTCCCATGCACCACCAGTGTTGGACGCGGAAATGGCAATCTGGACGCCAGACACCAGCGCACCCGCCAGCATACCAGCCAGAGTGGTGGTTCCAAACAGAGTTCCCGCAATCACAGGGCTCAGCATCACAAGTGCGCCAGGAGGGATCATCTCACGCAGAGAAGCAGCAGTCGAAATCTCCACACACTTTTTGTAGTCTGGCTTCGTGGTTCCCTCCATCAGGCCGGGCATGGTGTTGAACTGGCGACGAACCTCCTCCACCATTGCAAGGGCAGCCTTGCCCACACTCTTCATGGTCATGGCAGAGAACCAGTAGGGCAACATAGCACCAACAAGGAGCCCCACGAAGGCCTGCATCCAAAAGAGATGCATGTAAAAACTCCGTTCGCCACAACTGCCTGCAAGTGCTTTATAGTAAGTGATTTGAAAATAGGTATACCTGGGGCTCAGTCACGTTGACAACGTTAACCTTTGCCCGGCTCACATAAGCTCCGAACAGAGCGAGGGACACCAGTGCAGCAGAACCAATGGCGAAGCCCTGCAAGCGAGCAATAAAAGCGCAACTTCAGAATGACACCAAAAGAAAAAAGTAATCCTACTAAGGACGAAGAAAGAACTGACCTTGCCAATGGCAGCAGTGGTGTTTCCAGCAGCATCAAGAGCATCGGTGCGCTCACGGATCTCCTCACCCATACCCGCCATCTCAGCAATGCCACCAGCATTGTCACTGATTGGCCCATACGCATCAATGGCCAGACCAGTTGCAAGAGTGCTCAGCATGCCAAGAGCAGCCAGGGCAATGCCGTACATGCCAGCGAACTGGAAGCTCACGTAGATCGCAGCGGCAATAGCGAACACCGGAATGATAACCGACTTATAGCCAAGGGCAAGGCCAAAAATGATGTTGGTGGCCGCACCAGTACGGCAAGAGTCAGCGACGTCTTGAACGGGCCTGGAGTTCGAACAAGGTTCTGAATTAGTAATTCGTTCGTTCTTTGAAATTATCACTTAATTCTTTGACAGATTGAAGAGCAAAGAAAAGTGACGAGGAAAACAATCACCATACCATCCACTTACACGTAGGCATTGCTCGTGAAATACTCGGTGACAAAGCCGATGAGAAGACCAGCCCAAAGTCCGGATGAGACGCACGCAGATGCGTACCTGCAAGACAAGGAAGCAGCTTAACATATTATGTCGTCACAAGTGCAATCAAAAGTACTTCGGAGTCGAACTTACCAGTTCTGAACAACCTTGTCGCCCTGACCGACAACAGTGATCTTGAAGGTAGGCGGAAGAGCGTAGAACGCGACGAGGAAGATCACGGGTGTCATCAGCACGGTGGAGATGACCAGCTGCTTCTTCAATGCGGGCTCAATCTCAGCCTTCTCCTTCACTTGCTGAATATCGGTGGCGATAATGGTGGTGATCAGGCACACAAGAATACCAGCACCGCTGACCAGAAGCGGGAAGCACATGGCGGAGAAATCATGGTCCTTTCCAGGCTGAGACAGGGCCGAGATCACAAGGGCTGCGCAGGTGGACTCGGCGAAGGAGCCGAACAGGTCAGAGCCCATGCCAGCAATGTCACCCACATTGTCTCCCACGTTGTCGGCGATCACCTGAACACAAGAAAATTAGATTTCTATTAATCAGAAGCTCTCAAATTCAACGCCATAAAGAAAGTAAATCGCAGCACTTACAGCAGGGTTCCTGGGATCGTCCTCGGGAATGTTCCTCTCAACCTTGCCCACAAGATCCGCACCAACATCAGCAGCCTTGGTGTAAATACCACCACCAACACGACCAAACAGGGCGACAGAAGAACCACCAAGACCGTACCCTGTGATGGATTCGTACAGCCCAGCCCAGTCATCGCCGTAGTACTTCCTGTACGCGAGAATGGTCAGGAACAACACCAGCAGTCCATTCGCCGACAGGAGGAAACCCATGACCGATCCAGCGCGGAAAGCAGCCACAAATGCCGCCGGAATTCCCTTCCTGGCTTCCAAGGTGGTCCTCGCGTTAGCATCTGCAACGAGAAAAAATGCACAAGCACTCCTCGTTGACAAGCTGATGAAAACATCGCTGTCAGGGAAAACTGCTCAATAAGAAACTACGTACATGTAGCAATCTTCATGCCGAGGTATCCGGAACCCGTCGAGGTCAGAGCTCCAAGGATAAAGGCCAAGGTGCTGAAACCAGCGTTTGCGATACCCTGCTTGTCGAAGTTGTCGACGGATCCAAGGAATAGAAAGATGATCACGGAAAAGCCGCTCATGAACACAGCCAAGTACTTGTACTCCGTGGTCAGGAACGACTCAGCGCCTGCGGTGAGCAGAAAATCAGAATGTCGAAGTTCAGGTTAAAAGCGCAATGATCCTGGTCAAGATAAATGCCATGTGTCATATTCACGTACCCATGGAAATCGCGGACTGGATTTCAGAAACCTGCTGGAGTACAGTGTCTGCTGTCCCATCTTCCAATAGTCCGTACTGACCATCCGGAGCACCGCCGACACGGATACGAGAGACCATGAACCATTGGAAAATAGCGAAGAAAATGCCAACAACTGCAGTTGCCGGAATAAAGACATTCAAAAAAGTATCAGGAAGGGCTCCCTGAGCATGTTTAGAGACCTCCGTCAAGACAGCAGCAGCGCCCTCCATGGTTACTAGCTTCTGCACAAGTAGCGTGTCTGCCTCGGCGACAAAACTGGAGACCAAAGTCAGAAAAACCAATCCAACAATGGCTGAAATTTATATTTTAGCTGACTTCTGGTCTAGACTGGAGATCCCTGAACATGAACATCCTTCAGCCTTCAAGTGATCCGCGCAAGGACTTCTGGGGACCACACCTGATTGTGGGGCGGACACATTTCTCCATTCACCTCTGAGTAGGTTCTTGGCTGGCCCAGATACCTTGGGATTCCACGTCTGAGCTGGATGCTGACACGTCTTCTTGTGGCTTTTCATTGGCGGATAGATTGCCGCGCAGTGTCCACGTATGAAAATGCCGAACAGCATGCGTGTGTTCCCATTGTTTGCGGCAGAAATATTCCTGTCAAGGAGCCGACCTCGATTTTGACGCTTGCATTATCCTAATCAGATATAAGTGTCACGGATTGGATATTGGTCTGTAAATCGTCTGACAGGTTATACGTACCATCAATATTGTCCAAAAGAGAGAAAGATTAATCAGTTTATGGCATGTACCAGCTCAACATTATAGGCTAGCAAATCCTCAGTACAACACAAATGCATAGAATCACAGGAAAGAACAATCGCTAGTTCACCCTATTCTTAAAGTGCTGCTAACCATCCCTAGCCAAGTACCAAAAATCCATCTCCTGAAAATGACTACAGTCGCATGTTTGCCAAGTATGGCACACCCACCCAGTGCCTCCCCACACCCCAGCCCTACCACAGCCGTCAAAGACCCAGCCGAGTATGCTAAGAACCCAAACAGTGCCCGAGTAGCCACATTGAGGTCAATATCTCTTGCTGACGCAACCATTGTCGAAGGCTTTCCCCCAAATAGTCTCAAGTCTGGAGGTTCAATGGGGCGAAAAGTACGCCCTTCAGTCCATGTAGGACGAATGGCATGGCACCATAGCTTACCACCACCAAAACACTAGAACGATACAATCCGTGTCACATTGTGACTCCATAGATACGGTAGCATAGATGTTGACAACTACCGGTATGCTTCACCACTTGGTAGACAACCAACCATACCGGTATGCCATGTGCTTACTCATTCGACTTTTTAAGGTGCTCACACGTACATAGATACAGTTCAGGAGCTTGACCTTGCTGTAATAGGTATGCCTTACACTCCGGCAAGCATGTTATGTACACAAGTAGCCCTTATTCATGGAGTATATGTGAAGCATGGCGAGCAGGTGGAGTGCGCAAAGCTGCCACAGTAGAAGCGAGTTGCTCAAGAGCAAGATTCCTGATAAGGCACGATGACTGGGTTTGAACATTAGCTCCTGCAGCTGACCCACCTGTTCCACCAACCCTATTGTTGCTGTGTCCGTCCCTCCACGCCCCATCTACACCAACCCTCGAGCCAAACAAATTGCTGTGAGGAGTAATGCCTCGAATAGTAACACGTCCCGGTGCTAAGAGAGGAGAGTTTGTCGCATGTAACAGCGACACAGCCCCTCCTAGTGACGCAGCAGCCAGTGGTGCCGCTGCTGCTGCACCTGTGACCAAGCCTGTTGCTGTCCCGGCCACCCAGTCTGCTGCAGCCTCCACCCCTGCATGGCAATCTGATGCTGAGGGTGGAACGGCCATGGGGTCCCGGCACATGGGGCAACATACTGCTGCATGTGAGGGCATGGCACTGGCACGAGCAGCAACCCCAGCAATAGACCCAGCAGCAGCTGCAGTGGAAGAATCAGCAGCAGCAGCAGCAGTAGCAGCAGCATGCGTGGAGTTGGCGTGAAGATGAATGGCCACAGCAGTATTTGCCGGCTCGGAAGGCGCACAGGAATGGTGCGCCAGGTGGCTGATGCATGCGGAGCAAATGACATGGCCCCTGTGACACTGGCGTGGGGGAATGGGAATTCACAAAGGGGTCACAGGGAGAATGAGCTACGAAGAGGGGTGAAAAAAATGCGGAGGAGATACATGACAGAGCGGCAGACGAGCGGGTAAGGTACACCAAGATTGACCATATGGCAATAAAGGGAGAGGGAGTCGACGTTCGCAGTTACAGTCGAATCCCACTTTGTGCTCTGACTGTTGCAGACCAGCAGCACTAGAGTATGTGGCACCAAGAACCATACAGCCTACATCGTGGCACATGACATGACAAATCACAAGATCTATTCTGTCACACAGGACACATCGTCACAGGAGGTACCTGGTAGATGGGAGCAGACAGCTCCATGCAGCAGACAGGGCACTCCAGAAGCTCCTCCACTGCCGCCCACAGCTGATCTGCTGCTGACTCACCCACCGCCAAGTCAGCACAAGCTGAGGCTCTCCCACGGCTCCTCCGCCCGCCAGACCACGTGTCGTCGTCCAGTTCGCATCCGCCATCGTCTCTTGTGACGCACCTGTCGTCTTTAAAGCATCCCGTGTCATCTTTGAAGCATGAGTCATTCCCCTGGTACATTTCATCTCGAGATGCACCAAGCCATCGGCCACACCCACTATCATGATCTGCACGCACCTTCTGACTCGAGCAAGAAGGCAAAGTACCTTCACCAGCACACCCAGAAGCGTCAGTAGCACAGTCACCGGCATTGCCAACACCCCAACCGTTATCCCTCTCCCCCTTTTCCACGCCCTCCGTCCCTGTCCTATGACTACCACCACCCGCTCCTGCTGGCTTGGCTTGGCTGATCATCCCTGTCACTACCCCGACCGTTAAAATTCTCTCCTTCGTGCTCCCCACTGCTCTGCCACACCGCACCAAGCCCAAGCCTCGGCTGCATCTCTTCCAACCCTGGAACCCTCTAGCACGCAGGCCAGATTCAGAGGGCCTTGCCGTGAATCTGTGCCTGGGACCCAATGCTCCTGCTTCTTCTGCTTCTTCTGCTGCTGCTGCTTCTGCTGCTTCTTCTGCCCATGTCACACGTACGGACAAGTCTGTTGGCTTTGCGTCCCCTAAATTCTTCGCCGCTCCCTCAGGTCGGGCACAGCCACCAGCTCGAGTAACGTCAGCTCGAGCGCACTCCACTGCAATCTGTGCTCCATACGAGCCACCCTCTGCCCTCCCTTCCTCGCTCCCTACTGCCCTCTCCTCCCCAGCCTCCTCACCCGCACCTGCAGTTCGTCCCTCAGCCACCACTTCCCCCCCTCGTACCCAACCCTCTCCGCCACCTGCTCCGCCAACCCCCCTATCTGTCTCCCCAACGGGGCTCTCTTCCCCCACAGCAGGCATCTCTTTTCCCGTTGAAGCAGAAGAACCTCGAACGTACGGCTGAGACGCACCGCCACGCGATACGTCGTCAGGGAAACGTGCTGCGTCAACGGGATAAGAGCCTGACGTGGAACGGACTGGTTGCGTGTGACTGACGCTATCCGAATCGTGGCCTGGTCGACCAGCTTGGGAATCGTCTGCGGCTTCGCGGCCATTGCGGTCGTTAACGTTACCGTTGACGCTAACGTTAACGACTTTCTGAAATCCAACCGTCTCCGCCGTTCCGTCATTATTCTCCGCCGCACCGTCATTCATCAGAGCGGCAGCGTCGTCGTCGCTGTCGCCGTCCTCGTGATCCAGAGGCGGGAGGAAGAAGCGTACCATGCTTCGGTCGAACCAACGGTCTACAGGTACCGAGAAGATGAAGGTACAGAGACTAAAGTAATGATAAGAACACGGTAGTGAGACCGAGATAGTGTATGGCACCGAGAGCGGAGGGGCATACATGTGGCTTTACACATTTCACATTATTCCTTCAATCTTGGTTCAGGCTGACGTAACCACGAAGTGAGTTCCTCGGTCTCTGATAGAAGCTGGTTTACGAAAGGAAAACGGGATAGATTGTAAGATGTGACAGCTGTGTCCCTCAAGACGTCAGGTCACGTCTTTGGCACGTCACTGGGGCCCTGGCAGGCGACAGTCTGCGCTGCCAAGTGGACCGGGATTCGCTAGCCTGATTCGGGTGACAGTGAAAGGTTCATTCGACTGCCAGCTTTGGCAAGCTCAGCGCGAGCAAGGAAAACAAGAGGCGACTAGGGTTGCGAAGCTTTTTGCAATATTACACACCATACAATATTATACATAGTATTAATCTTGTAACGGTTTGGTACTCTATTTTTAAATGCGTCTGCATGGACGAAAACAAGCGCGACGAATCGAACCTATAACCTCAATCCCGCACTTATCTTCAACCGACTGCGCTAGAAACACCGTTCTATTATTTTGTTCATAGTTATTTTAAATCAAGTTTTGCGACGAATCTGCAACCGTTAGGGTTTGTTCAGTCCCCCTTTTCTCTCTTCCTCACGCTAGAGGAGCCCAGTTCTTCTCTTCGTTTCTCTTGGTTTGCTCCCGTTCCCAAGCTCCACCCACCACTCAAAGGTCAGAAGTTGTTCTCCTTACTAAGTTAGGTGATAGTAATAAACTAAGTTAGACGCATGTTTTTGTCAAATGTTGTAGCCTGTAGTGAGGTTTGTCTTAGGGGGTACAAAAGTTAGGGTTTGTCATATGTACCCCAACCAACATCAATGCAACATCCATTCCTCATTCTGACATGGTATCAGCTAGGTTAGGATCCTATGGGATCCCGTTCCTCCGTTCTCCGTACGTACCTCCCGAGCCTGATCCTACCTCTCGTTCGTACCAGTTTAGTTGTTACCGCGCCTAGTTCCGAGCCTAGCATCATCTCCCCCGTCGCGTCGCGCCCGTTCCCCCCGTCGCGTCGCCCTGTCCCGTCCCGTCGCGTCGCCCTGTCCCGTCGCGTCGCCCTGTCCCGTCCCGTCGCGTCGCCCTGTCCCGTCCCGTCCCGTCCCGTCGCCCTGTCCCGTCGCGTCGCCCTACCCCGTCGCGTCGCCCTGCCCTGTCCCGTCGCCCTGCTCCGTCGCGCCGCCCTGCCCCGTCGCGTCGCCCTGCCCTGTCCCGTCGCCCTGCTCCGTCGCGCCGCCCTGCCCCGTCGCGTCGCCCTGTCCAGTCGCGTCGCCCTCCCCGTCGCGTCGCTCCCGCCCTTTCCCCCGTCGCGTCGCCCTCCCTAGGCCCTAGCCCGTCGCCCTCCCTAGGCCCTGGCCCGTCGCCCTCCCTAGGCTCTGGCCCGTCGCCCTACCCTAGGCCCTGGCCCGTTGCCCTACCCTACGTTTTGGCCCGTCGCCCTAGCCCGCTCTTCCGCTGCGACTGAGTCCTCTTCCCCCCCGGTTATTACTCGCCTGTTCGTTCGCGTTGGTTGTCACTATGGCGACTCCGCGAGTTCTTCGTTTCGACGCTGACGGTAGACCCCTTGACTTTTCCGTCTGGCTTCTTCGCGCTCGCCGTCTGTTAGAGAGTCAGGTCCAGGGGGGCGAGACCCTCTGGTCACACGCTACTGGTGACCTCCCCGAGCCCCCCGAGCCTACCGCTTTAGGCCCTGCTCCTGACGACGCTGCTACGGCTCGCTTTGCCCGTCAGCGCGCTGACCGGACGGCTTGGACGTCGCGTGACGCTGCGGCCTGCATCGCACTCAGCAGCCTCCTCCCTGAGTCCGAGGAGGTCCACTTTACTCAGGTTCGCACCGCTGCTGCGTACCTCACTGCGATTAAGGCCCGCTACTCTACTCCCGCTACTGTCTCTCTCGGCCGTCTTTTCCTCCCGTTCCTGTTTCCTGATCTTGCCTCGTTTGAGCGCTCTGCTGACTTGATCGCTCACCTCCGCTCGCTCGACGCTAGTTTCCGCGCTGCTTGCACTGAGGCACAGCTTGCACTGCTTCCTCCCCCCATGGCGATTACTGTCTATTTCATCGCCACTAGCCTCCCTGACCGCCTTGCCTCCGTTCGTGACGCGCTTCTGCTGAAGCACCCTAGTGAGCTGACTATCGAGGTCCTTGAGTCTGCACTCAAGGACGTCGAGAGCAACCTTCGTTCGGTAGCTGCCGCCTCTGGTACTGTGTCCCCCCCACTCTTCCACGGGTGCACAGTCCCGCAGTTACCCACCTTCACTGCCTCTCTTGCCACTGCCGCTACTGACGCGACTGCGGCTGCTGTTACGACTGCGTCGCGGTCCCGCGGCAGGGGGGGCAAGAAAGGTGGTTCCGGTGGAGGTGGAGGTGGAGGTAGCGGAGGTAGTGGGGGTGCTGTTGCGACTGGCGGTGGTGGGAGTGCAGCGTCTGGAGAGACCCCTCGTGCAGCGGCTCGTGACTCCACTGCACCTGCTGGTGGCGGCGACCCTCGAGCTCGTCAGTCGCCTCCTGTACTGCCGGCCCCGCTAGGTGGAGCAGCGGCGTGGTACCAGGCTCAGCGTCAGCAGCACCTTCAGCAGCAGCAGCAGCCCCTTTCCTCCCAGCAGCCTCAGCAGCAGCAGCAGCAGCGTCAGCAGCTGGCTCCGGGGTCGGGGCTGCGTCAGCCCCAGCGCGGTGCTGCTTACCCTCCCTGCCCCTACCAGGTTCAGACAGGTCCTCGTCGGGGCCACCCTTGTGGCCGCTTTCACCCCCCTGGTCAGTGCTTTGCTCAGCTCACTGACACGGTCCGGTTGACCTACGGGGTTGGCGGTCCTGCTCCTGACTGGCTTCCTCTGGTTCAGCGCCACGGCTCCGCTCTGTGGGGCATGTCTGCTGAGCAGTTAGTTGATCTGATTAGTGCTCCTCATCCTATGTATGCTGTTGTTGACTCTAGTGTTTCTGACTCTGTTTACTCTGGTGTTGTTAGCTTAGGTGCTAGTCTTGCTCAGTTGCCTGTTGCTAGTGTAGGTACTTGTGTAGAGTCTAGACCAGCGACTACCTCAGACGACGCTTCGCTGTCGTTCACACTGGACTCTGGAGCCTCCCACTGCTTCTTTCGGGACAGCACGACACTTACACCACTTCCTGCGCCTGTTTCTGTAGCGTTGGCTGATCCCACTACGGGACCAGTCACTGCACGTCACACTACCACTTTACCGTGTCCTGCTGCTCCCTCCGGGTCTCTCACTGGGTTTCACGTCCCCTCGTTCTCCCGGAACTTGGTGGGCGTGCGACCCCTCGTGAGTCAGCACGTGGGTGTGTGGTTTGAGCCTTCTGGAGAGACTGCGGTGTGTGTTGACGGAGACTCTTACCAGCCTCTTGCTACCTTTACTGCTGAGCCGGGCTCGGGTCTCTACACTCTTCACACTGGCCCGCGTGCGCCGCAGCAGCAGCCGCAGCAGCAGCAGCAGCCGCAGCAGCAGCAGCAGCAGCAGCAGCAGCAGCAGCAGCACCAGCGGCCGCACCAGCAGCCCCCCCCTACTGCCACTGCCCCCGGTTCCCCCCCCCCGTTCGGGTCCCCGCGTCTCACCAGGTTGCTACGTCCCCCCAGGTGTCTGTGTCGTGTCAGGTTCCTACGTCTGTTCCAGTCGCTGCGTCGTGCTCCTGCCTGTCGCTTGCCCACCCCACCGTTCTGTGGCACCACCGGATGGGGCACCCGTCCCTTCCACGTCTGCGCGCTATGTCTAGTCAGCGTCTTGTCCTAGGCCTCCCACGTGTCTTGCCGGCGCTGCCGCCTTCGCCTGCGCCGCCGTGTCGTCCCTGCGTCGAGGGTAGGCTGCGCGCCACCCCTCACTCCTCCTCCCTTCGTCCGGCCACCGAGCCTTTTGAGACGCTTCACTTGGACGTCTGGGGCCCAGCCCCTCGTCTAGGCCCTGAGCGTGAGCGTTACTTTCTGGTGGTAGTTGACGACTTCTCCCGCTACACCACAGTGTTCCCTCTGGCGAAGAAGTCTGAGGTGACTTCTACGCTGATCAGGTGGTTGCTCACCACTGAGGACACTCGTGGTCGTCGTGTCAGCTGTCTCCACTCCGACCGTGGGGGTGAGTTTCGCTCCGGCATTCTCGCTGGATTCTGTCGCGAGCAGGGCATTCGTCAGTCCTGGACGCTTCCAGAGTCCCCACAGCAGAATGGGGTTGCTGAGCGCCGCATAGGCCTGGTCATGGAGATCGCCCGCACCTCCCTGACTCACGCCTGTGCCCCCCATTTTCTGTGGCCCTACGCGGTCAGGTACGCCGCGCACCAGCTGAACCTCTGGCCACGTGTCTCTCGACCAGAGGTTTCACCGACCAGTCTTTGGACAGGGTCCCCTGGTGTTGCGTCGCGGTTTCGTGTCTGGGGGTGCTTGGCTCTTGTCCGCGACACCTCCGCGGACAAGCTCTCGCCTCGTGCCGTCCCCTGTGTCTTCCTTGGTTTCCCTGAGGACTCCTCTGACTTCACCTTTTACCACCCTCCCTCTCACCGGTTCTTTGACTCCCGTGACGTCCGTTTCGAGGAGTCCACTCCGTACTACGTCAGGTACCCCAGTCGAGGTCTCCTGGTTCCTCCTCCCCCCCTCTTCCTGACTGCCGTTCCCCCTCCTGCTCCCCCGGTACAGCCTCCCCCCCCTGGTCCAGCCCCGTCAGGTGTGTCCCAGGCTACCCCTCCTCCTTCGGTAGCCCCTCCGGTACAGCCTCCCTCCCCACAGTCCTCCTCGCAGCGTGCCGCTGGTGCTAGCTCTCGAGAGGTTGGTGCGGCGCCTGTTCCTGTACCGGTTTCTGGTTCTGGGGGTGCTGGAGTTGGAGCTGGAGTTGGAGCTGGAGTTGGCACTGGAGTTTCTGGTTCTGGGGGTACTGGAGTTGGAGCTGGGGTTGGAGCTGGAGTTTCTGGTTCTGGAGTTGGAGCTGACCCGGTGGGTGCAGAGGACTCTTGTCGTCCGGGAGCTGGTGCTGGCCGCGCGGACACTGGGGGTGCTGCGTCTGGGGGTGAGGGTGCGCCTCCTTCGGGTTCAGGTGAGCCTGGTTCTGGAGCTGGTGTTAGTGCTGCCTCTGGGGGTGGTGCGCCTAGTTCTTCTGAGGTGGACTCTGGAGCTGCCGCTGCTTCGGACACTACTCCACCCCCCCACCCCTACCCGACTAGGCACCAGGCTCGTGTTCGCCGTGCCCGTGGCGAGCAGCTGGCGTTGGAGAGAGAGGAGAGGGAGTTACAGCGGCTGGAGGAGCAGCAGCAGCAGCTGGAGCCGCAGGAGCAGCAGCAGCAGCAGCAGCAGCTGGACCCGCAGGAGCAGCAGTCCAAGCAGCAGCCGCGTCCGCAGCAGCAGCAGTCGCAGCCGCAGCAGCAGCAGCCACTTCCTCCTCCTGTCTCGGGTCTTCGGATCCTTGGTCTCCCCTCCCCTTCTCCTCCCTCCTCCGCCTCTCCTCCTGTCTACGGTCCCACGTTTCCTCCTCCTGACTCCTCCCCCGCTGTTTTCCCCAGTTCTCCGCCTTTGTCCTCTCCTCCTCCGTCTCGTTCTTGGGCTACTCGTCGCTCCCCTCGTGCTCGTCCCTCGTCTCCTGTTCCCTTCACTGACCTTCGTACTGCCTTCCTTCTTTCTAGTCCACCTCGTCCGTCTCAGTCTGTGCTTCCGTCTCCTCCTGAGTCGGCCCTCACTGTGTCGCTCCCTACTCCTGTCACTGACTACTACCGCACGTACCGTCCTGTTCTCTCTCGTGTTCTCGCCTCTCTTGTTACTCACCCTCGTGCCTCTGTGTCCTCTGTGTCCGCTCTTACTGCCGCAGTTACTGACTTTGCCTCTACCCGCCGCCTTGACTACGCCACCACGCTTGTGGCTGCTCCTCCTACCAGTCCTCTGGCCGTCGGGGGTGTGTCTGCCCTTGGCTGTGACGCCCTAGAGGACAGGCAGTTTGAGCTAGAGTTCATGGCGGCCGCTTCCCCTCATCTCTGTGCCATGCTCCTCGCCCCTGAGGGTGACCCCGACGCCCTTGACATTCCGACTCCTCGCACTTACGCTGAGGCAGTGTCAGGGCCTTGGGCCTCTCAGTGGAGAGCTGCCATGGACGCAGAGATGGCCTCCTACAGATCCACAGGCACCTACGTCGATGAGGTTCCCCCCCCTGGGGCGAACGTAGTCGACGGCATGTGGATCTACAGGGTGAAGCGGCCACCGGGATCTCCCCCGGTCTTCAAGGCGCGCTACGTGGCTAGAGGTTTCAGTCAGCGCGAGGGAGTTGACTTCTTTCAGACCTTCGCACCTACCCCGAAGATGACCACTCTTCGGGTGTTACTACACGTAGCAGCACAGAGAGACTACGAGTTACACTCTCTCGACTTCTCCACTGCTTTCCTTCAGGGCAGCCTACACGAGGAGGTCTGGTTGCGTCGTCCCTCGGCCTTCACTGGCACCTTCCCTCCTGGGACCCAGTGGAGGCTGAGGCGACCTGTTTACGGTCTTCGCCAGGCCCCTCGTGAGTGGCACGACACTCTGCGTTCTACCCTCTCTGACCTTGGGTTCCAGCCGTCTTCTGCCGACCCGTCGCTGTTCGTTCGTCGTGGCTCCACACCGTTCTTTGTTCTGGTCTACGTCGACGACCTCGTTTTCGCCACTTCGGACAGGGTTGCTTTGGCAGACGTGAAGTCCGAACTGCAGAAGAGACACACGTGCACTGATCTTGGTGAGCTGCGCCACTACCTTGGCCTGCAGATCACCAGGGACAGAGCCGCTCGCACCATTACACTCTCACAGTCACACATGGTGCAGCAGGTCCTTCAGCGGTTCGGGCTTCAGCACTCCACCGTACAGCGCACACCTCTAGCTGTTGACCACAGACTCACTGGTCCCTTTCCTGACGAGCCGTTTGAGCCTAGTGGTCCCTACGCAGAGCTTGTGGGTTGCCTCATGTACCTGATGACTTGTACTCGCCCGGACCTCGCCTTCCCTCTCAGCATCCTTGCGCGCTTTGTTGCGCCAGGGAGACACCGTCCTGTTCACTGGACGGCAGCTGTGAGGGTGGCGAAGTACCTAGCGACTACATCAGGCGTGGGGCTAGTTCTTGGAGGGCAGCAGTCTGTCGTACTCACTGGTCACTGTGACTCCTCTTACGCTGACGACGCTGAGACTCACAGGTCTACTCAGGGGTACTGTTTCAGTCTGGGTTCTGGAGCTGTTTCCTGGCGTTCCACGCGCTCCTCTTCTGTCTCGACCTCTACAGCTGAGGCTGAGATTTACGCTGGTGCCATGGCGGCACAGGAGTTACGGTGGTTGACCTTCTTGCTCGCCGACCTTGGTGAGCGGCCGAGCTCTGCACCGACCTTGTTTACTGACAACAAGGCGTCGATCCTCCTCTGTCGTGAGCCGCGACTGGAGAGCAGAGTGAAGCACATTCAAGTCAGGTACTTTCTTCTGCGAGAGTTGCAGAGGCGTGGACAGGCTCGCTTCGAGTTTGTAGAGTCCGAGGCCAACACTGCAGACATCTTCACCAAGGCGCTTCCGCCTTGTGACCACCAGAGGTGTTGTGTGCAGTTAGGCCTTGTTGACACAGGTTCTAGTCATGCGTAGACTTGAGTTTATTGCCTGCTTCGTCTGTACACTTACTATATATACTTGTGATCTCTTGGACTGGCCTTGTGGCCACTGTTGCTTGTGCTCAGAGTGTGTGGTGACGTTGTGATCCACCCTGAGCTTTGTTTTCTTTTGGACTGGTCTTGTGACCGTACTCTTTTTTGTTTTTACTAGACACCCCTCACTTAGGCTATGGGGGTGTGTCAAATGTTGTAGCCTGTAGTGAGGTTTGTCTTAGGGGGTACAGAAGTTAGGGTTTGTCATATGTACCCCAACCAACATCAATGCAACATCCATTCCTCATTCTGACAGTTTTTTATGTTCTACTTAGTGTTGGTCGTTCTAAGGGGCTGCAAAGTGTTGATGTATTAGGTTCTCTGTAGGACTTCAGCTTATCTCATCGCGTGGTATTCCTTTCGCCGTTCACATTGCATCCGTTGTCCATTCCCTATCACGCTCTTTATCTTTCCATGATTAGATAGGCTCTTTGGTTGTTGTTTCCTTCTCTTTTTTCTCCTGTCCATCCTATGTTCTTTCCTTTCCGGTTTCATTTTTTCTGTTTCTTCATATGTTCTCTGATTCGTCGTTCTATTTACCGGGGTTCATGATTCAGTGACATTTCACTTGGATTTGATGTTTTTCTTGTTGCTCTATCCTTCAACATTTTTTCTCTTTCGACTTTCGTTTATTTCTCTAACTTCATTTGGTCGACATAGTATATTTATTTATGTTTCTGCCCCCTCTCATCTCCTTTTTCCCCTTCCTTCCATCCTTTCTCCTTTCTCCTTTATTCGATTCTTTGTTGCTCTGCCCTTGCAAATTTTGTTCGTCATCTTAATACTGTTTTTGTTATCGAATTGATTGCTTTTCTGTGCTCGTCTATTTCGTTCCTTCCGTCCTTCCGTTTTTCAAACATGCTATTTAGTCCTTGTCTTTATTTTGTCTTCTTTCCCCAATCTCATGTTTATCTTTGACTGGTGTTCCATTTGTTTATTCGTGTATCTTTGTCACTGGTTTCTTGCATTCCTTCCCGTTGTCCAGTCTCGTTTAATCATGTTATTGCTCTTATCTTCCTTTTGACAAAGTTTGAAGAAAGAAAGAGGGTTGAACTAGCAGGAATGAGGATACAAATAGCAAAACCCTAGAAGGGTTGTACTCGCTATAGAGCACCCCACTACAGGCTAGAACATAAGATAATATTCTGACACACCCCCATAGCCAAAGTGGGGTGTAATCAGCAGAGCAGGCAAAGCAATACAAGCTCAGGGTGGATCACAATGTCACCACACATTCTGAGCACAAGTTCAAGAAGAAATAGTTTAGAGTTAACAATTATAAGCAAAGCTAGTGGTAGTCACAACGGGCAAGTGAGGAGGAGGAGGGAGAGTGAGGGGAGAGGAGATAGGAGGCGACGGCTGAAGCTGCAGACACACGGGCAGCAGGAGGCAGACTGGCACAGCGGCTACCGGACAGCGCCCGGACTACAGGAGTAACAGGCCCCGCGGCTCAAATAGCGGCGGACGGGCAACGGACCCACAGACGGCTGGCGTAGAAGTCTAGCTCACTGGGCTACCGGGACAGCGCCCCGGACTACAGGTGCTGTTGACGACAAACTGGCAACCTCCGCTCATCCTCCCGCACACAGTCCCACCCCCCTGATACACACCCACTGCTACACCGCTAGCTCTACTCCCACACACCCCCCTTAAACCCTAAACCCAGTCTCCCACACATCCACCCCCCTCAGCGACAGCTGCAGCAGTGGGAGACGAAGGAGGAGGAGGAGCAAAGGGAGGAAGGAAGACCGGCCACCCCCATACCCGCCACCCCACAGCAAGCGGCCCCCTCAGGTCGCCTCGACGGACGACGGGAAATGGCAGGGGGAGGGGGGGGGGGGGGGGTGGGGGAGGCGGGGTGGTGAAAGGGACCCACCACGGGCCTGGTTCAAGGGCGGGGCCGCGAAAAGGGGCGGCGGGGCCGCTTCGAGGGGCGGGGCCGCGACACAGGGCGGGGCCGCGACGTAGGGCAGGGCCGCGACGGTCGGGCGGGGGCCGCGACGTAGGGCGGGGCCGTGACGGTCGGGGCGGGGCCGCGACGTAGGGCGGGGCCGCGACTGTAGGGCGGGGCCGCGACGGTCGGGGCGGGGCCGCGACGTAGGGCAGGGCCGCTTCGAGGGGCGGGGCCGCGACGCAGGGCGGGGCCCGCGACGGTAGGGCAGACGCCCGCCGCGCGCCTCGGGGCGCACAGCGGGCAAAGAACCGCCGCGCGCCCCGGGGCGCACGGCGGGCAGAAAACCGCCGCGCGCCTCGGGGCGCACGGCGGGAAGGAAAACCGCCGCGCGCCTCGGGGCGCACGGCGGGAAGGAAAGGTAGCAGCGGAAGCGAGGTGGAAACCCACCCACAGGATCGATCCAAGGGGATCGACCTGCTCTGATAGCATGACAAAGTTTGAAGAAAGAAAGAGGGTTGAACTAGCAGGAATGAGGATACAAATAGCAAAACCCTAGAAGGGTTGTACTCGCTATAGAGCACCCCACTACAGGCTAGAACATAAGATAATATTCTGACACCTTTAACCCTATGGCCGTGTCAGCTTTCATCTGTTACCTACTACTACGTTTCCACTGGTTTCCCTTGTATTGATTTCCTTGGTTTCAGTGCGTTTTTCTTGGCTTGTGTTTTGTTGTTCTTTATACCGTAGTTGCGAAAAATTGTTCTTGCGTTAATTATTCTGTTCCCTTGAATACATGCCATTCTGTAACGTAAGACATTCCTTTGCCTCCCCTTTTTCCACATTGTTTTTTTGTTCGGTCCATTCTTTCATGATATAAATCTGCATTTTTACTCTCTTCCCTTTTGCCATTGCTATTCTTTTCTCTCATTTGTACTTCTCAGGTGACTGAATGTTTTATTCTAGCGGCCAAGTATGTGGAAAGAGACTAGTGGCTTCGGGTCTTTGTTTTGTATTGGAGACTTTCGTTTGCATATGTGGTTTTTGTTTTTACAGTTCGTGCACTGATTTTTTGTGTTGTAAATATGTATGATCTCGTGCGTATGCTTGTTTGCATGTATATGCGTGTGTGTGTGTGTGTATGTTGTGTATGAGTGTATACGTGTGCATGTACATTGCAATAACAATGCATGTCTGTGGGTCTTAAAAAGGGGGCCTCAGATCTATCATTTCACAAAAGGTTCATTGGCGCACTCAGTGACTCGTGTGTTGCCACTTCGAACTGGATTTGATAGATTTGATCTCGTTTTTATAATTCACAGATTGTATTGTTTCATGTGGTAGTTGAATATTATAAAATTAAGCTACTGACTTCCTCCCCATGCTAGGCAGAGGATGCGATAGCTTAGTTTTTGGGTCGTTAACTGTGAAAGTTTAGAAGAAAGAAGAGGGTTGAACTAGCAGGAATGAGGATACAAATAGCAAACCCTAGAAGGGTTGTACTCGCTATAGAGCACCCCACTACAGGCTAGAGCATAAGATAACATTCTGACACACCCCCATAGCCAAAGTGGGGTGTAATCAGCAGAGCAAGCAAAGCAGTACAAGCTCAGGGTGGATCACAATGTCACCACACATTCTGAGCACAAGTTCAAGAAGCAATAGTTTAGAGTTTACAATTATGAGCAAAGCTAGAGGCTATCGCATAGGGCAAGTGAGGAGGAGAAGAGAGAGTGAGAGGAGAGGAGATAGGAGGCGACGGCTGAAGCTGCAGACACACGGGCAATAGGAGGCACACTGGCACAGTGGCTACCGGAACAACGCTCCGGAATACTAGAGTAACTGGCCCCGCGGCTAAAGTAGCGGCAGACGAGCAACGGACCCACGGGCGACTGGCACAGCTGGCTACGACTGGGCTACCGGACGAATTCCCCGGAACACAGGTGTTGCTGGCGACACGACGGCAACCTCCGTGCAACTTCCCAAACAGTCCCACCCCCCTAACACACACCTGCTGCTACACCCCTAGCTCCACTCCCACCCCACCCCCTAGCACCACTCCGTCGAATCCCACACACCCACCCCCCTCAGCGGTAGCTGCAGCAGTGGGAGACAGAGGAGGAGGAGGAGCAGGGGAGACCACACACCCACCACCGGTGTCGAGGAAGGGGCCCACCACGGGCCTGGTAGGGTCGTCCGAGCCGCGCGCAGGCAGCCCGAGTCGCGCGCGGGCCTGGCGCCGCCCGTACGGGCCGCGCGCGGGCCTCGCGCAGCCCGTTCGGGCCGCGCGCTGCCTGTACGGGCCGCGCGTAGGCCACGACGGGGGACGGGGGGTGACGACCGAGTCCCCGTCGCCCGTCGCGGCGCCTCCCGAGGGCGACGCGCCGGCCGAAGCCCGCCGCGCGCCTCGGGGCGCACGGCGGGCAGAGAACCGCCGCGCGCCTCGGGGCACACGGCGGGCAGAGAACCGCCGCGCGCCTCGGGGCGCACGGCGGGAAGAAAACCGCCGCGCGCCTCGGGGCGCACGGCGGGAAGCAAAAACTACCACACGCCACGGGGCGTGCATCACCGAGTGTAGTGATAGTAGTTGCAGCGGAAGCAAGGAGGTGGTAAGCCCACCCACAGGATCGATCCAAGGGGATCGACCTGCTCTGATAGCATGTGAAAGTTTAGAAGAAAGAAGAGGGTTGAACTAGCAGGAATG